TGGGGAAGCGCCGATAGAAAAACGACGAACATGTCAGGTTATAGCGTTGAACGTGTTCTTTTGCAAGCGCTCGAATTTTGAAACGGAAGACTCAAAGAAACAAACGGCTTGTTTACAACGCACAAACAATCACATGGCTCCGAATTTGGGCCATGTGTATACAATATTACTCCAAACTATGTTATGTAAAAGGCTCCCAAAACTTATGCCTCCTAATATCCGTTCCCGAATTTGTTGGTTTCTAGACCAACACCGAACCAACTGGGTTAGTTCGGAGCATAAATATCGGAGAGTTCACACAAGTTTTGGCTCTTTTTGATTTGGACGATCAGAACGATCAAAAATCTATCATATAGTGAAGTGAGCGAGTTAAACTATTGCCTCTCCTCTTTTTTGAGCCAAAGTAGTGTAAATCTATGCGTTGATAGATATCGCGCTCCAATCACACGCGGTGTCCTTTGAACTATGTGGCGAAAAATGCGCCGCCAGATTGTTGAGGCCACAGATTTGGATGACCTCGGAGGTCTTCGACATTCTGAGCACTAAAATGGTACCCTGCCCAATGACAGAGCCTCTAATCAACTCGAGTTTTCTTTTTCCTTTTCTGTTATATTATTAGGTTGTCCGGAAATTAATGCCCGCTTTGAATTTCAACCGCAATAAGTCATAAACTTCTCATTTCTACATAGATGTTAAAGTACCATTCGACAGAGCAAAGCAAGCTCTACAAGATGGCCATCTTGCTTTTGCAACAGCTCTCATCCACCTCGAGTTTCGTGCCAAAAACTAAAAGACTCAGCAACCCGAAAATTGAAAAAAATCGTAACTTAATTCATAAAAATCCTACAAAAACTCTAACTTGCTCACGTAAACACAATTCACATAAGGTATCTATATACGCCTTTGCCGTTTTTCTTCCTCCGTTAGAAATCAAGAAAACGGAAATTTTCGTGCATTTGCTTAAGTGATGCTATGCCGTCTCCAAATAGGTAGTTGTATATCACAAGCTTGTAGAAGTACAGACTTAAATTTTCAGCTCTCTACAAGCTTTAGTTCTCGAGAAATACCGAATATAGCTTTCCCTAGTTAGGCGGTCCAAGCTAAAACTCAAATTTCTCGAGAACTAAAGCTTGTAGAGAGCTGAAAATTCAAGTCTGTACTTCTACAGGCTTGTGGTATATAACTACCTATGTGAGGACGGCAGAGCATCACTTTGGCAAATGCACGAAAATTTCCGTTTTCTTGGTTTCTGACAGAGGGAAAAATACGGCAAAGGTGTATATAGATGTTTTATGTGGATAGTGTTCACGTGAGCAAGTAAGAATTTTTGTAGGATTTTATGAACTGAGTTACGATTTTTCTCGATTTTTTGGGCTGCTGAGTCTTTTTGATTTTTGGCTCGAAACTCAAGGTGGATGAAAGCTGTTGCAAAAGCAAGACGGCCATCTTGTAGGGCGTGCTTTGCTCTATCGAATGGTGCTTTAACACCCATTTCGAAATGAAAAGTTTATGACTCATTGCGGTTGGAATTCAAAACGAGCATTAATTTCCGGACAACCTAATAGGTACCTCAAAATGCGCTTTTTTCGCTATTTTTATTCTTATTTTGATTGGATAAGGGTATCCCTACTAATTTTTACGTCAAGAGGACTTCGTAAATTTTCGCGAGGTCATGGAGGCTTCGTTTCCAAAAATGCTCCAAACCAACGCGTGCCGGGCCCTGGCTGGCATATCTCCTTTGTTATTTTTGGTATACACTTTGAACCTACCTGATACTTTGAAAACAATGGATGTAGGCGTATAAATCTATGCAGACGATACAAAGATATATGCATCTTATGATGAAGACATCCTTGCAGTTTACGATGCATTGCAGTCATCAAATGATAAAATGTGTGGATGGGCTTCTCAGATTGGACTTTCTTTCAACCCAAGAAAATTTTCTTTCCTCCATCTTGGTAAGCTTTCCTCAACTTCGTATAAAATTGATCGAGTCGAGATGACTGCTTGTCAATATGTGAAAGATTGGGAGTTATCATTGATTGTAATTTGAAATTCTTTAAGCATATTGATTCAACTGTCAACAGGCCACTTTATTTACAATCTTTCGTAATATACAAACTCGTAATCCAATTACTGTCCCGGTTGTACAAAGCTTATGTTATTCCAAATCTTGAATACTGTTCACAAGTTTGGATTCATTCCAGAAAAAAGATATAATGAAGATTGAAAGAGTTCACACATTTCACCCGTCTGGTTTTCCGTCGTGCGAGTGGTGGAAAACTAGTTGCTATTTCAGACTGTCACCTACGCTCTAATACTTGGGCTTAACTTCTCTCAAAATTAGATGCATGATATCTGATTTGGTCTTTTGTTTTCGTATTCTTCGCATGGAAATAAAATTGAAAGCAAGTAAATTTTGTATCTTCAGACCAGTTGGTTTAAGGCTAGGCAGCTTCAATCTGCATTATGAACCTGCCATGCTACATCAGTCTAGAATATCCAGCTATCTTCTTCCGCTGCATAAGATGGCTTCAGCGCTTACTCGTTGATATTGTGTCAGCGAGTGGCGGTGAAGCCTTCAAAAAATTGACAAAAGCTGATTTGTCCTAACTTTTGAGCAGTGATACTTCTTTTTGATTGCGTTGCGTTTCTAATATGTTGTGTTCAAGTTTTTTAGGGTTTAGGTCTTTAGAGTTTGTAATTGTTATGGTTCTCCTACGCTTGATTCTGAGGCTTGATTTTCTTTGAGCACTTCGTTGTGTTTTTCTTTTTTTGCTTCTATTTTATTTTTCATCTTTCAATATTCCTCTTTCTATATCTTCGCATTTGTCCATGCGCTTCACTATCTTTTTCGTTTGACGGTTCTGTGGCACGCGATTCCGCCTGCCTCAAGTTAGTGTTTACTTTGGGCTGATTGTGGTCGAGGGAATGCGAAGAATGAATGTTTTGTTGGATTTTAGTTTATGTTAAATCAGACTTCACCCCCCTCATTGGACCTTGGTTCACATCATTGCCATTCGCTGTTTGGCTTTTTTTAACACATTCATACCTCACGCGTTAGTTTGGGTCTGGTTCCTCTTATTACTTCCGTTGATGCTTGGGTTAGCTTGTTTGGGCTTGAAACTTTTGCATTGTGCAATCTCTTCTCTCGGAGTTCTGTTTTCTCCCCAGAGTTTGGTTGGGCGGGTTTCACCAATATTACTACCAATACACCTGCTTCCAACACATACAGTTGCTTATGTCTGAATAAGAGCATTTGCTAAGAGCAGGGGGCATGAGACAGACCCCATCGAACCTTTATACCTGTGATGATTTCATAGTCGTCTAAACAAGCTCAGTTTCTATCCCTAGAAAAGATTTTTACGGGCTGGACTTGAGCTGATTCAGTGGAATGTTTGCCTGTTTTTTGTTGCTAGTTGTTTAGCGTGGTGCATGGGCACGCCTTGTGTGTATCAAATAAATGATAAATAAATCATTGAATTAGCACTCCACAAACGAAGAGAACACGAGGTCCACCAAATAACGCTGAACGAAATCACACTTGTAAGTGGCTTCTTTCCATAAGCAGCAAGCTTGTAATTTGCAAGATTTGTATAGGCTGTGCCAACCGGCATCGGTCATGCGACGTCGCGCCCGCGACAACTTGTGACAGTGCGATGTGACGCGTGCGGACTCTGCTACGCGTTAAAGCACGTCGCATGCGGCAATGCGTCCTCGCATGGCATTCTAGCGCGAGACCGATGTTGGCTGATACGGCCTATAGCTCATCACCAGAAGTGCAGCATAACTTTTGATCATATTTCACCAGCTTTCTGAGTTACTAAACACTGTGACCGAACAAATCGTCATGTCGATTTTAGATCTTCTGCTTCATTCGAACACTACAAGAGTAGGCTCTGTGAAAGAAACACAACAGTAATGTAATAGGTACTCACGGATTATTGAATGAATTTTACCCACATAGTTCGGGGCTTAGAAGTATACCGATAGTGTGGCTTTCTTGCCACCCTTCATCAGTACTTGCGAGAAACAGTAAAAGAAATGTACAAAGCAAAGCTTACGGTCATGGTGAGTAGGAGAAGATAAGAGAAGATAGAGAGGAAGATTGAGGTAAAAGCTGGAGCAAATGCAGTAATAATGACTTCATGCTGAAGTCTTTTCTCGTGACCTTAATCGTTCTCCCAAATATATGACTTATAGCCAGTTCGCACATAATTCAAATTCAAGAAGCAGTGGAAGGGTATTTGTGTGGAAGTCATAGCACGTAGAATATTGGTTCTACTACAGAATGCATGGAATAGCGCATGTATGAAATTGCCGCAGTCCCAGACAGTTTATGCTCCAGCGCGTGGCGAAGTTTTACTAATCTATCTTTAGAACCTGTATAAGAGGTCAGCTCTGATTGATTCTTGATAACTTTGTTGTCCGTGTATTAATCAGTATATGCAGAAGTATGTTTGATAACCAATGAGGATATTTGATAATTCCAATTGTAATGGTCAGTTTTATTATATAAGCTAAATTTAACAGTTAGTTTCAATTTCTATGGTAAGGTCAAGAAAGTTTGTTGTCACTCTTCTTTCTGTATTGGTTCTTTCTATTATTAGAGACTGGTCAGACTGGTCATATATGGCTCCCGGAATCCTTTCGAAATTTACTGCAAAAGGTGACATGTGAAGGATGGCGTCTGTGACCTATACATATGGTTGAACATAAATCACTTCTGGTCATCCAATGTTCTTACGTAGTTCTCTATAAACTCAAAATCAAAGATGCTAAGGTAAGGTTGGCCATTGCGGAATGCAGAATGTACCTTGACGGATTCCTCCAACTTTTGATAAATTGTCCTCTCGAGTATAAATACTCCAACTTAGTTGAAACTTCACCTGTTTCAAGTTTGTGTTCGCATATGAGAATTCTAGTCCGCTCAACCTTTGGAATTGTTTCCAAAAAAGAACTGGTTTGTAAATGTGTCGAATTCTTCTCAAAATCTTTAAGAACTGTTTTCACTGATGTCTTCATAGATAAATGTTATCGACATGTGAAATTATGATAAAATGGAAATACATGTTCCTCCCACAGGTGCAAACGAGATGATGATAAGCTCATCCACCACGTGGATGCTGCTACTAACCGAGCATCACTCATTCGCAATACCACCACGGTTGGTCGCTTCGGCTATTTTTTCTACTCCTGCCTAACTCCAATTTTGGCTTTATCATACACCATCCTCAAGTGTGACAATATTACAGCTGAGCTGAACACTGTCAGTATCTGACACTACTTACTCACACAAGCAATCAAGCGTATTTCGCATCGATCAGCATGGAAACTGATTCGTTGAGTGTCGCATCGACACAATCTGGTGAAGAGGACCAGGTTTGTTTTGAATGGATGGACTCATTTCTTGTCGACTGTTCCAATCGCAGCGTCCCTTTTTCTTACCCTATCCATCCGCAGTTAAAGCTCGCTTCCAGTGTTTCGATCAATAAGCCCGCCAGCGACGATGCTCATGGCGCGCATGCGCTAGTCGAGCACTCAGACAATCATAGGCTCTCAGCCGGCAGCCACAAAGCCACCGCGAAAACCCATCAAAAGCGCGGTGGCCTCATCGCCTCACTGTCGCTTCCCGCTGAGAACTGGCAGCGAGCGGACTGCTATAAAGCCTTCAGAAGCGAAACCGCCGCTTTCGCTTCGCGCTGAAGGCTTTGCGCTTCGCAGAAGGCTCTATAGCAGCCCGCTCGCTGCCAGTTCTCAGCGGGAAGCGACAGTGAGGCGATCAGGCCACCGCGCTTTTGGTGGGTTTTCGCGGTGCCTTTGTGACTGCCGGCTGAGAGCCTGTGATTGTCTGAGCAGGGGTACTGCGATTGGTACAAAGTCTACTTGGTCATGACTGTTGTCTTCTCAATAGGTGACCGTTGTCGAAAATCCTGAAGCCGTCACTGACCGCACATCGGATGGACAACAGGATGATAATGGCTATAGTCGCCATTTCAAAAAGAACACAACGAACACTAGCAGCAGCGCAAGTCGCTCACCGGGTCAAAATCGTAATACTGGCGGAGGCGGACGTGGCGGACGAATGAGACAGGTTAGCCTTAGCTGTTGAAAACGACTCTTGCGTACTCACATTACAATATTGCTACCTTATCTAGCGCCGCATTTATCATAAGTTTGAAGAATATCATAGTATTTGTTCTGAAATTAAAAGACTCAAACGCTTTGCATGCATTGTCGAAACAAGTTTGATCGTGTGGTTAACAAGTTTACACGTTGAATTATAATATTTGAGATCATTTATATACCATTTGGAACCAGCATGGAACAAGTTCAGATTTGTTTAGAAAACATATGCAAAGCGCGCTCGCTTCTTTTAGTCACAAATTAGATGATCAACAATATGCACACGTTGTCTAACAAACCTGAACTTGTTTTGCTCTGGTTCCATATAGCAAATTAGAGGCTTTCCCCACCCTTTGGCTATCGGTAAAAATTACGGCGGTTCTCCACTCGCTCAAAATTGGCGACCTTTGAGAAAAGCAAAGAATATGGCCTATTGAGTTGGCTTTGCCAAAGAAAGTTTCCTTTGCACGTTCAGCAGGAAGAATAGAAGAGCCTGCACTTGGCTTCCACATATGATATCGTGTATAACGAGACCGACGTCAAGTTGCTCAGGGAAGACGTGGGACAAATCCTCATGGAGACTGACTGAATCATGTTTCGAACTACATCGCCAAAGTATTCCACACAACTGCCGACCTTCTCTCTCTTCGACGCTGCAGAGCATATCAAGTACTGGGCCATAATTCTGCATAAAACGAAGACCAGGAAGAAGGACTTGCAACTGATAAGTGATTGTATCCTCATTATTCGTAGTGAGAAAGTTTCATCACGAAATTGGAGACGTTGACTTTGTCCTTCACCTATCTATCGTCCATTTTGTCCATTTATATGAGATCACCTCGACTAACCATTTTACGCCTATGACCTCCGCATCAGGAGACCATAAGCATCATCAATTGGTACTCCCCAACAGTAGCAGCTGATGAGTTAGGACTAGATGCTTTCTACAAAGACCTAAGGGAGTCGTCCGTAACGAAAAGTCCTTCTACAAGCATGTTGTGGGCGACTTCAACGCGAAAATCGGGATGCCAATGGAAAAGGAATATAGGATTGAGAAGTTTGGATATGGGCTGAAACGAAAACGGCAACCGTCTCGCTGGGCTTCTCTCCGCTGCACGACTTTTTCATGAAAATTCCATCTTCATGAAGAAGGAGCATCGCCGGTGGACATGGGAATTGCCCAACGGAACAACGCGGAGATCAAAAACGTTCTCATAGCCGAAGGTGGGGGCTTGCTCCATGTGTCAGTAATTATCCTTCTGCAAGCTCCGCCCTCTTTTTCGAGCGAAGGTGCTGTCAGTGAAAGCTGGAAAAGAAGGTCTCTCATGGTGCCGCGAGAAGGAAAGAAGTCATTTACGACGGTAACAGGCTGGAAGCTCATAACAAGTTGTGACTGACCGACGGAGGAGGACCCACCGTACGACTACGTCGGCTTATAGAAGGATTGCGAATCTGCGGAGAATGCGCTTCAGTTACCCTCGAAAAAAACTTGGAACGCATTTCGAAGACCATCAAGGGACTACTCGAGATCACTGAGGCAAGATCCGAGTGCAACCCATCTCGAGCAATTGATAGCCAACACCAGTTGCAGAATAGCTTTGCAGGAGGATCTTCAGAAATACTGGAAGCCAAGATACTAGAAGCAGACGAAGGACGACAAAGCAAGGCCGAAGGGACCTATGAATACCACGAACCGCTCGCAGGCCTGCTAAAAAAAGACGGATTTCCGACTCGTTGTCATAAGGTGATGCCTATCGCGAAAAGTTTCTGAACCTTTTCCGTTCATCAACGCCCACGCCCGTTTTTTCTATTAAAGAAGTACCACCACGGGTTCTATTAGTTGAAGTTCGCACTGCGATTCAAGCCATTAAGACATCCTCAGATTTGGAGCCACACCATCTTTTTGTCGGACCTCCGCGAGCCGGAGGACATTTCTACACTCTCGCGTCGCATTTAACGTCTTATCTTCAAAAGAAAAGGATTTCTGAAATTTTTTTCAAAAAATGTCTTTTTTCTCAAAAAGGGTGAACAGAAGGACCTTTGAAGCTACCGTCCATAATGCCTGCTGAGTATCTTTACAAGCTTATCCCCTCTCACATATCTAGAACACGATGAAGCAGCCCCAAGAACACGCTGGATTTTGTAAAGGGATCAGTTGCATGGACCACATCTAGACAGTTTCGAAGGTCATAGAAGCCTGCGGGGAATGCCGACTCCCTTCGCGCTAATCCTCGTCGACTACGAGAAAGTCTTTAACAGTGTTGAAACCAAAGCCCTGTCAGCGCTGTCGAAGAGGGAGTGAGCCCAGCTGTGAGGACATTGGCGACTCATAAAAACTGTACAACAGATGCAGCTATTTCATTGCCCCTGGCCATTTCAAAAGGAAAGGAGATCCGACAGGATCACACAATGTCGTTAGAGTTGTTCTAGCGGCTTTGCGTGAGTGATGAAGTGATGAAGTCGCTAAAAGTGGACGAAAGCGGCACATGAGTGGGTGGAAAGTTCTACTGGACCTTTGTTTTGCGTACGACATCGTTCTCTGAGCAGTGTCGTCAGAGACAATGTTAACACGTTGACGACGAGCCATTTTTTTGCGGTCTGTCCCTGTGGACGAGACGTTTCCATGCATCCCTACGCGTGGCCCATGTATGTATGCATGCATCCATGCACAAAGTACAAAATGTGCAAGCCCCGCCCCCTTTGGCAAGCTCCGCCCACTCGACCAAAAATGTCGGAAATGCCCAAATTTCAAGAATTTATGCGATTTCCGCCACTTTTGAAAAGTGGGCGGAGCTTGCCACTCAGGGGGCGGAGCTTGCCTGACGGTGGGCGGGGCCTGGCTAGAAGTTGCTTGAAGTTGCGTTCATTTACAGTCTAATCCATGCTTTTTGTGGACAAAAAGGATCCTAGTGGGAGGCATAAAAGTGGGCGGAGTTTGCCAAAAGGGGCGGGGCTAATACATGAAGTACATCTGGGCCTATGTTGATTATATGAACAAAAACTGAGAGGATTGGACAGATAGTAATGAATTTAAGGCCGCCGCGCACCATTGCGCGGCGTCGTCCACAGGGACAGACTGCCTGCCGCGCACCATTGCGCGGCACTGTCGTCAACGTGTTAAAGGCACCGTCCACCCAGATTTTCGATTTCCACGTTTTCTTCGTTTCAGGGCCTTCTCATGTTCCTGATTCCGAATATGAAGTCGAGAATGCTCGAAAACCCCAACAATCTCCATTCCGGAAAACCCACAGGCCGGCTTTCCGGAACGGTGATTGGATGGGCGCGCACAAATGGGCGGGCATGGATGGGGGAGGGCGGGCATGGATGGGGTCCTCATGCATCTTCGCTATTCCGAAGCGATTTTCTCGCTTCCGAAGCTGCGTTTTGCTCCGCGACTTGGGCATTGGATTGATAGAGGACCCTACTATTATATGCTGCCAAAAGCTCAACACCTTCAACTTAGGGTGGACGGTGCCTTTAAGGAACTCAACGAGAGAAGAAGATTTGGCTTTGAGTAAACTGCATGAAGACTGAGCTCATAGAAGACGCCCTTTCCGAAGATGCGAAAATGGAGTTGAAATGAAACCCGTTACGGAACCGTCTTCTTACATGTACTTGAACTTCGGTAAACATAGAAATAGGTTTAAGGAAAAAGGTTAATGAAGAAAGAGAGCAGGCCTGAATCTCCGAAAGAACCACCGATCAGCTGAAGGATCCGGAGCTTCGAGCCGAAATGTTTGGCTCAAACTGTTCCTTCGGCGTTTTGCTAGGCAGCTGAGATTTCGGCCGTCATTACAGCCACGTCAAAAGATCTACGGGACTGCTCACATTAGACTTGATCGCAGCTTTCTGAATACCACTCAAGGCAAGCAACATCTCTTCGGACTTCGCACTGGGGATATGGGAAGAATTTCCCCTTTTCGTGTTACGATCGAATACGTTGCGGAGGCAAAAATCTATGTTTTGGTCATCAGAGATTGGTGGACATTAAAAACATCACAATGGTTTCCTCGCGAATCAAAACACCCCCGTAGAAACCATAGAGGAGGTGGACAAACGTACCGGTACGGATGTACTGCCTGAAAAACAGCTGGATATGACTACTACACCTTGGACCTGTGAAAGCAGCCACTGGAGGGCCACCAGAAATGGTGGATATTAGAAGGGCGGACAGGTACAAATGGCATCTAACTGTTTTTGCTCCCATATCAAGAGCAGAGAGCCAAATTTGAGCTGATATCGCGGGGATTCACTTGCACGGGGCATAAAAGTCTACCTTGATTAGTTCTGCCTCATGCTAACCTTTGTCGACTATTTTTAAATCGACGCCATTTTCTCAGCGCTAGCCGATAATTAGTAGAGATGCAGCTTAGGTGAGGACGACCTGCCACAAGTAATGCACATGCACAAGCAATAGGCCTATCATTTCCTGACCATTTTAATAAGGAGGAGTCAGGCGCCACAGTCTCGAAATCTGCTTACTGCAACAATGGAGAGGGTGATGGCACTGGACTGGAATGGAAAAATCACACAAGTTTTTCTTCCACCTTTTTTTGTGTATGACTTCGTTCCTTTTGCGAGACATCACCAAATCAGAGACGATGAACACTCTTTGTAAAGTTGTAAAGATGCGAGGTAGAATTGGAAATCACCCTCAATGGACATCTTTTCACGTGTATTCAGGACGTTTGATGAACATGAGGAACGGTTGGGGTAGAATAGGAGAAAAAGAGCAGCTTGAGTCGCGTTCGGACTTCTATAGGCACCGACCAGGACGATCGAATTCATTGTTCGATTCAATATCTTCTCGGCGCTCTGTTACTCAAATTACGTTTAGCCTCATATCACAGTCCCCTCTAGAGCTCTAGCTATCATCTATGAAAACTCAAGCCTTTCTTACTCGACACAAGCAATATCTCGACCTTTCGTAATACAGATATAGAATGTCCCATCATTACGTGAGATATGTTACGAAAGTGAAACGCCAATGAGCCGTTCTCATCATGAAAGAACCGAGGACAGATGACATACAGTAAGAGCGTCAGAGGAGGTTTCTAGCGAACAAAACGCCATGAGAGGAGCAACAACACAATTATGTTCGTAGAACGGATGGACCAGCTGAGAAATCAGATGGATACGACTATCGTACCTGTACACTTGAAGTCGCCGAGATCAGCAAGAAGATGAAGATTGTGATGTCTGAAGCGAGGAACTGGCACGATTGGTGACCACTGCAGAAGACAACCTGTGGAGACACGCTATCACATTAGTATCCAAATAAGTAAATTACTCAAGACGTGGTAGGATCAGTGAACTGATTAGTCGCAGTGTGCAGTTCGCAGTCTTCTTTTGCAGAGAGCTCACGGGTAATATAGCATATTAGGTTGTGCAAAAGCCGCCACTTGCATTCCAATGTGTCGCGACTGCTCGGCGTTACAGATTACAGCCAATCTTTTCAGTTTCAATCTCGTGGCGGCATGTTTAGTCCGGGCAGATTCACACAGACTCCACCTGCTTACATGGGTCGAATGTATGGAATGGCCACACCGTATGCTAAGCTGAACATAATACTTAACTGATAATCATAAAATCTTCCTTACAGGATGGGCGTCCAGATGCCAGTAGTGCCTCCGTTTCCCGGAGAGTATTTTGAACCGCAGGGCAGCCTTTTTTCCCGTTCGTAGATTCAATCATAAAGATATGAAAAAGTCGAAGTAGTTTCTATTGCAGCTCGTTTCCGTGTAGCACCCACAACACCTATGCGCCACTTCAACAGTCGTGGCGGAGGACCAGATAGCCCGGGTGGAGGTGGCGGAGTTAGGCGTCGTGCTAAAAGCCCCACATCCGTGCCATCATCGAGCGCGGACGCTACAAGTCCGCAACAGAATCGAGATGTTGGACGAGAACGTCGAGTGCGCGAATGTAAAGAGAATCGTGACGACGCTGCAGCGACTCCGAAACCACAACAGCAAGAAGAGGCTGGTTAGTGTTAGCAAAATTTTTCAAAACATTTTGAATGAGTACTGATGATAATCAAAAAATATCGAGATTATAAACATCAGTTTCCTTTGAGCTGCTACGCCTGCAAAGAATGAACCCGTTCGTCGTGACCACCAAAAATTCGCTGCGGCCACTCCTACAAATGATCCACGCTCATCAGCGCCGCTGAGGAGTCTTCGTACGGAGGTTTGCAATGATTATCGACCGATAGCATAGACTATCATCCAAAATCTTTAGTCTGGACGTGTCACGTATCCTCTAATCTATGTCTCTCCTGCGGGCTCAATTTCTGTGATTCTCTCACATGCGATTATTATTGAAATGTCAATTGATCGATGCGTTCGTGTTGTGTGTCATGACAATTTTGCTGTGAGTGTTTTTTTTCCTGAACATCCAGGACGTATATAATGTATTTATTAAGGCATTTGTAAACGGTCGAGGCACTGCATCATGTATTCTGCATAAGAAGGCTCGAATGTTGCACACTAGGGATATGGTCTACACAAAATTTTGTGAGCTTACGTGCAGTACAGACGCCCATGAGGGCATACAGTACGTTCAAGCAATCAATCGTCTATTGCAGCTTCCACTAATGATCGACTGGCAGTGATCGGTGACGAAGGAATATTGTTTTCGATGAGCCACCTTAACGAAGCTTATCTTGTGTCTAGTCACATCAAAGGTAATTCTTGAGAGTTCTATTATAATGCTTTTTTGCCTACAAATACAGAAAAATGCAGCAGTTCGAAACCTATTAGGTGTAGCCATTCGATAGGCGTTTCACTGCTTCTATCTCACTCTAATGCTTGACTTCAGTAAGCGAGCAAAGTACTCCGTCAATCTTAGCTTGCGTCAATAACATAAGATATATATCCTGGTCACATACGAAGACTGAGTAGGGGAGATTTTTGCAGCAAATTATTTAGCTGAAGTTGGAGCGAAAGGAACACAAGACAAAACTATCTCGTCTCATGCTATCCGTAGCATCACATCAACTCGTACTGCAACATCCAGAGATTTCACCGCGCAAAATCAACTTTACAACGCAAAGCAACGCCCAACTCTTTTTCTTTTCGCTATGTAAATTGTTTTTACTCAAGACCCACTTCGAATCCAAAATAATTACTGCATTGAATCTTTGTACATTCATGTCAAAAACAACGACTGCAAAAACTGCTTTGCATGCGGGAGTTCAATCAAATAAATCAGAAACAGCCAAAAGAGGGAGTCGTTAGAGAACCGACGTCGCTTGTAGTCCCGACGAAGTACAGGGTGTCCCAAAAAGATGTGCACAATGTTGATTGTTGATAACTCTCTTACTTTCATGTCTTCTGCCGAGCTTGAGGTGCCACTCTGTAGAGCGAGGTTCAACTTTGATTTGCAGTATGAAGCGAGTCACCCAACATTCTTCATTACTGTAAGATTACGTTAGGAATTTTGAGGAGGATTTTAAGCTATTGAAGGCGGTATTTTGCCTCAGAAGAAAGCCAAGCAAGCCAGAAACTGTTGAACTGGGTTAATCGAAGTCGCTGATTCTAAATATGGAAATTACACGTCAGTACACTGTTTCTTTCATGAGTTATTTCAGGGGTAACAACTGATTTTCCAATGTTTGTCGGAAATGTAAATACGCCAAGAAAGTTCGAAAAACTGGTGGAAAGTTATGTAGTAAAATCAGCACGCCTGAAAACCTTGCTACACAAATTTTTAGATTTTTTTGAAATTATTTCATCAAAAGGCTTATTCCACAGTGACACTATATGCTGAAAGTTCATACCGTGATCTTACAGTAATGAAGAGTGATTGATGGTTTGCTCCATACTATAAATCTAAGTTTATCTTCTCTCCACAAAATAGTATGCCAAGCTCGGCAAAAGACAGCTAGAGAACTATTAACGATCAAACAGTGTGCACATCTTTTTGGGACACTCTGTATATTGATTTGATAGCGAAGGCTTAGGCGTCTCACAAGCGGGATAGCGTTCGCATAGACTTCTTGCTGAGAAAAAAACAGTTTAGGCGTGTTGGTTATGAAAGTGCATAATTCAAAAAAGAATATGATGTCCGCGAAGGCTTACGATGCTTTCAAGACGAATTCAGAAAACTTTGCTCTGCAAGACCTTATTGCCCGACTAACTTCTTTTCACGGACTATTGGCAAAAACCTAAAGCATCAACGCTGCATTGGAGGGAGCAAAAACCTAAATGGCAAATCCCAAGCCTTGTCTCGTTTCTGTACATTCTTGAAAGTTGGCGTCAGTTGTTGCTGTAATTATCCACCGACCCGCATTCATTATTGTAATATGTGCCCAATGGACGAGTGGCGTGAGGCGTGACCAGGTCGGACCGAAGTCTATCCCGTTCCTGAACAACCAAGCCCTCTAGCCAAGTCCTCTATCTTCCGGAAATAATTGGTCTGGACGGATAAAATCATTGATTTGGTAACCGGATGGGCCCCGCGAATCGTTGTAAAAGGCCTACACGCATTTAGAATCCTCTACTTTGAAGTGCAGTGCGCTCCCGACATGCCGGCAAAGGGTATTGAGACGCCTAATCATTTATCCTGACTCAAATATGTGCTCAAAACATGTGAATATTATGACAAAACCAGATGATGGCCATTCTTACAAAGATAACCAAAAATTTAAAAAAACACTGAAGTGCAAATCTATCTCAGGTCCATCTGCAGTCTCATTGGAAACTCTAGATTTCTCTTCGGGTCATCTTGAGAATGACTTTTCTATTCGGTTGTTTTACCATGAAGCGCAAACTGGCACTCAAGTTAGTTCCAAATTTTTACTTTCGAAAAAATAGTATTTATGTCTATGTTAGTTCACAGTCATGTCGAAGGAGATCGTCCATGAGGCTTCATATGATCGTAAAGCGGATGGCTCACTCTTGATGCATATCAATGGTGCGGATCAAAATTTAGTGCTTTTTGTCATGTTTGATTTTGACTCCAGGCATGTCCGTACGTCAAAGTCGCAATGGAGACGTCACTGTAGACGCAAGACCTCGCGTAATCCAGTGCAGCCCCTCGACAACCGCTGTATTCGTGCGTAGTTCCTATATCGACATGGGAGTGCAGGTAATGTTTTACAAATTTGTGTTAAGATTCACATCTTCAGAGAAAGGAGATAAATGCTTTGTTTTTCCGGAGGCTGTGAGATTACAATCGGTGTAGTGACTTTTCCTAATCAGATAAATTTTCATTACCTTTGAAAATCTTACCTAGTGCCCATTACGAAACCTGAATTGAAAGAGAAAACGCTATTACCTTTGACCGGGTCCAGCTTTGAGCTGCTGAAATCCAAGCGTTGTGCAGAAAATTAATTTCCGATAACAACTATTTTGCTTTATTTTAGGAAAGTGAGAAAGCATATGTAAAACGGGGACTGAAACGCGTGCATGTGTCCCGATCCGGTATGGTCGTTTCCGATGGGAACTGCATCACCTCAATGGATCACTTCGGACGAATCGTTAGCAGTACTTGATTACGCCGTCGCTTCCATTGATCTTCTTTCTTCTCCGCTGATTTTTTGCTTTTGTTGAGACACCTATAGAGAGTTGTTGATTTTAGAGATATTTATTGGTTCCCCTTTTTCTTGTTTAATCCATTGAACTGGTGTGTCTTTTGGTATCTAATTGTTCAGCCAATCCACAGTTCAATGTGAGTCTTGTTTCCCATACTGTAGGCTTCCAACTCGGATGCGGTGGAAGTTCCCAAACAACCCATGCCTTTCCACCCGTACAACTGAGTTTCCCACAAAAGAGCTCCTCGTAGGTTAGAGCTGCTCCCGTACTTGTTCCTCTGGGTTTCCATCCAGTACGCCACAGTAGTAACGTTATGCCCACATTGATGTCTGTATTCGAACACACCAATTTGTCTCGTCATTTGTATTTAAAAAAGCGTTTTATATTGTTAGTGAACAAGCACAAAGCATAACACATCACGATAATCAACGATGAGTGTCTTGTTGCCTCTCTGTTTCCACCTTTATATGCAACCTCAGCGAAGTCGATGATGCTCATCGTATATCGTAGTAACAAATAGTTAGAGCAACAGATATTTGATAGAAACATACTGACAGCAAACTGCTCTAGCCGACTTTGTTAAGGCTATCGAAGCATACGTGTTTGGTAGTGGCCTAAGCAACAATGCCCTAAAAAATCACTTACGCGTACTAATAAGGAAAGCTACCTAACTTGGCTCGGCCTTTTGGTAAAAGGCATGTATATATTCTGAATCAGCTCCAAATGCTGATTCCAAATATGTTATTTCTAGCTGCCACGCACCATTCCGAAGCGAGTTATGGGCTTTTTCCTACGCAAAATTGGTATACTACTGAACATGAGAAGACTGGCTGTAGATGAAAATCTGCAAGAAAAAGGTGCTGAGGTAACGATATAGTATAAATCCATCTTTTCTCACCAATAAAAAGCTTGAAGTTGGTGTATAAGCATTTAAATGATGATGATGTGATGTCCGTGAGTCGATGAGCATGCCAATTTTACGCAGAAAAAAGCTCATCACTCGCTTTGGAAATGGTGCGTGGCAGCTAGGAATAGCATATTTGGAATCAGCGTTTGAAGCCGATTCAGCCTACATATGTTCCTAGCCAAAAGGCCGTGCTAAGTTAGGTAGCTTCCCTTGTAAGATTTCATTCGCATCATAGCGAAAGTAATGTGTTGAAAAATTTTATAGAACGCGAACAAATCAAGATGTAATTCTTGAGGATGGATACGCAATACACAATAAACAGAAGAAAATTCTTGATTCCGAGAGCAACAAATGAGGGACAAGCGAAGGAAAACGAAATGTGCAACAAACAGAAGATAGTGCAAGCGCTTACTCAGACAATCGATCGGACCCCTCCGCCGGACCCTCGGAAACTGCCAGGGTCGCGCCGGACCCAGTTGACCAATGAGAGAAGGGCAAATGGGCGGTCCATCGCGGTGGCATCACTGGCAGGCAAATGGGAGGCTTCTCCGGCCCTGCTGCAAAGGTCCGCCATTTCTCCGGCGCGACTCTGCCAGATTTGACGGACTCCGCGCCGCAGAGGTCTGCGCGGCGCGTGTCCGCCAAATTTGGAAGACACGCGCCGGAGAAAATCGGAGGGGTCCGGAGCAGAAATGGGAGGTATCCGGAGCAGAAAATGGGAGGTATCCGGAGCAGAAAATGGGGGGTATCCGGAGCAGAAAATGGGAGGTATCCGGAGCAGAAATGGGAGGTATCCGGAGCAGGCTGCGTATCGATTTGGCGCGTCGTTGCAAATCATTCATTGCGGCATCAGGCCTAGGGCATAGTGTCCACGATACCGTCGCGCTGCGATTTCTGAATGACAACTGTTACGCACCCCATGGATGATCCGCTCTTTCGGAGACAGAGGAGTAATGTTGTCATAAGGTATTTATGAAGCTGTTAGGGCTGTAAAAAGTGGGGTGGAGGACATTAGGTCGCCGAATTCGGAAGAGTCCCGCGCGGATTCCCTGCAGGAACGCATGTCCGCGCATGTACAAGGGTGCGTATTTGTCGCAAATGACCGCGGGGACCGCCCTTTTTCGGCGACCTAATGTCCCCCACCCTAAAAAGTGTAATAACGTTTGATCTATTCAGAAATATTCATGAGGACTATGAGGTCCTACATACTGGATTTTGCAAGACTTTTGATGAGTAGCCGGGCTCGGGTGTACAGGGTTTCAGGGACGATTTTCCAGTAAGATTGCTGTGACAACATTACTAAGCTAGTCACCATGTCAGTCCTGATGAATTTTTGGCGAAGTTTCATCACAACTAACACTGGAAACTTCCATAGATTTTAGGTCAGTTCTGATGCTTCATTGCTATTCGTTCTTGGATGATTTTCAGTTTCAGTCGATGTTCTATTACAACCTTTATGCCCATGTACATACCTAATTTTACCGTTTTGTCTCCCATGATGATCGGTTTCAAAAATGAGCTTTCCTCATTGGGAACTATTGTCAACGATGCTGCCAAAGCATGTCTAACAGTACGTTGAGATCTTCAGAAGTCCGCTTCATCATGCTTTGTCATTGATTTCACTCATCTTTTAGATTTATCTCACCAAAGGTTCATCTGAAATGTATACAAAGCTTCCAAACTCTGGCCGAAATACAGTTGTTATGAATTTTGGAGACCCATTTATCACAAGAAACTCTGCCATAGTAGTGCAGCGGTTTGACAAGCTCATTCCTAGGTGAGTCACAGTCAGCCCTTGCATTTTATTCTATACTTCTTCTGTTCCTTGCACGTTTCAGTCACGCAATATCTGATACATTCAATCGTAGGTTAATGGATTATAATGTGTTCTTAAATGTGCCTCAGTATAGTGCTTTTGCATGGAAGGATATGCCTAGCTTACTGCCCTACTCTAGAAAAGTGAGTGTACTTTATATTTCCTTTTTTGTCTGCCGATTCACGATTTTTCCATTTCTTCCGTATTTATTTTCGTGTTTTTGTATAAATTCTTACTGAAATAGCAACCAAGTGGTTCAGCAATCTATCTCTGAATCTGGGCAATCTTTTTTGCTCGAGATTGAGCGGAAAGAAACGCTGTGATTCTTCTGGGCCGTAGTCGGCAGAAGTGCTTTCACAAAAAGTCTTGAGTCTTCTCGTTAGAGTTTTTTCTCTTGATTGCTTTCGCAATTGAGAAAATAGTAAGAACCATTTTCTAGGCACCTCGACTGCTTCTGGGAGCCATCACAGCTTTCATGCGTTTATTCCATGCACCTACAGCGTACCTAACAGAGTAGATTGAACAAGCATTGTATGAACGATTCGCTTGGACATTTTCACCTACTGTTGTTCTCTTCTTGTGTCTTTGACGACCACTCCCCTAAGCTGTTCAATGTATACTTCCGTTAATATGAGGATAGACCCTCTCAAAAAGTAAGTGATGTTCTTAGTGAATGTTTTGAACCTAGATTTACAGATATAAACATTCATTCAACCAAACTTCAGAATACTTTGTCAAAATTGAACGATCAAAATTGAAGATTGAATGAAACCAAGATTGAACGAATCTTCATGGTTATTTGCTCGCAGGTGGAATGCTTATCGAACACTGCAGGATGAAATTGCGTTTAAATGGCGTTCTTTACGTGCAATAAATTGCCCGTTCCCTCACCCTGTCACGTTTTGAACGTTCGCTTATTGCTAATCTAAGGTTCACTCTTTTACACCAGTGAGTGTGAAATGATTAACGATATAAGATGATTTTTCGAAGAAGTTTGAAAAATTTGAAATAAATGTTTAATCTCTTCGTTCTTTCTCCTATCTTCTATCCACAAACGCTAGGGGTGAGAGGGAGGGGGTAGAGTACGGGGTGAGGGTCGTGCTGAACTCCTACCCGGGGGGGGGGGAGGAGGGGGGGTCCTATTCGGCTAATTTGGGTGGGGTTTAGAGACAAAATTGGGGTTTGGAGCTTAAAGGCAGCGTCCAGGCAAGTCTGGACCTATGGGGATTTTACATGGAAAGTACTTTTGGGGCCCTAACTAACCCACTACCCAACCGGCAGCTCAGGTAGTGCTGTAACGCCTGAGATATTCTGCTCGAAACTGGACCCCGCGACCGTGTTTCGCATGGATTCATGGCGCAAAGCGTGGACCCTGGCGCGAAACTGCCATGAATCCATGCGAATACGTTCGCGGGGGTCTGTTTCGAGGGGAATATCTCCGCCATTAGAGCACTACCTGAGCTGCTGCTTCGGCAGTGCCTTAGTTAGGGCCCCAAAAGTACTTTCCATGTAAAAGCCCCATACCAGATCTGCCTGGAAGCTGCCTTTAATTAGGGCTAATTACAGTATGCCGCGATCGGGGGGCTCCGGCGCACAAAATCGGGGGGCTCCGGAGCAGAAAATGGGAGGGCTCCGCCGGACAAATGGGAGACCCACCGCTGGGGATACGCCGCGACCCTGCCACTTCTCCGGCGGAGGGGTCCGATCCGCTGTCTGAGTACTTGTCTTCATCTTGACTGCATCGTCTTTTTATGTTGCGCGGTGGTAATGGCTATGCGCATAAAAATTAAATCATTGTACATCAACAAATTCCTTAAAACAACTGCGTTGGATATTTTATAGGATCTTGCAGTTGACGTGTTTTTGTTCTGGCACGATATTATGCAGCGTTTGAGAAGGCTGGGTCTTGCGTTCCCTCTATACCCTCTTTTGGTTGGTAATGTAACTCTGGCGAGCCAGACTTATGAGGCCTCGTTTATCCTCGCGCGATTGGAAAAAATCACTATCGCTGGCGACTTGATAGATATTATTACCTAGTTTACTGCACGTAAAACTCGAATGCACAAAGGCAAATTCGTGAGTTGGCAGGTATATAGAATATGCTTACTGGGAGTGTCTTATTTTTACGAAGAATTACGAGCCGTCATAAGAGAATCGTATCGCGCGGGTATAGCCGATGCCCAAGGCGGATGTTGCACTTCATCGCATAAGTTGGAACAGCTGGCTTCATTAGAAAATACGACCTTGCACTTTACACGTGAGGAGATTTAGGGAGATTATTTTTACGCTGATCCACATTCCACTGGGTGAAAGGGTTGTTTAGATGTTTCAATGTTGAGCTCATACAGTCGAGTAGTTTTTCCGCTTAATATAGTGTGCCTGCACTGTAGGTGAAATGCAGTAAAATTTTCGCGTGAAGGAATAGCTACGCCTGTAACGCTTTCCAACAGCGCGCGCAAGTGCCGGCTTGGCTACTGGCTTGGCTAAATATATATGCGCAAATTTTACCGCATTTCACCTACAGTGCAAGCACACTATATTAGGCGGAAAATCTACTCGACTGTACTTAGTCACTCACAAACTTAGATGGTCGGCTTCATGTGATGTGCGGGCCCCAGTACAAGAGTTGCCATGATCCCTGCTTCCGATATCTATCATCTGCGATTTTCGTCGGTGGCTCCTCGAATTCCAGGGGCAAAAATCGTATCCAGCCGATTCTCCAGCTGGTTCATCCGTTCCACAAACACGTCTCCCGGGTGGAGGAACGAAAACTTCAATTATGCACCGCGGACTACTGGTCCTAACCCGATGTACAACAATAGGACGAAAGGACCAGCAGCGCGCGGAGGGTACCTAACTGAGGTGTTCGTTAATCTGCCTCACGCCTGCCCATCTCGTTGAGGTCTTCCTCAGAACGTTTTGCTTCGCGAGAATTCAATCCGATGTTTTTAGTGTCCGTCGTGTCTGTTCTAACCTAATGTGACCGGCTCATTGATGCTTCGCTTTCGCAACGTAATACGCTGGGTCACGAAGACGGGACAATCTTTTTATATCCGTACTGCGAAGTCCGACAAGATGTTATTTGAGTTGGGTCATCCACAGAAAACTGCGCTCTAGCGCTCTGTGAGTGGTCCTTGGAGCTTTCGACGTGGCTACAGTATCAGCCTTTGTCTCAGCTGCATGACAAAGCGCTGGAAGAACGGTCAAGTCGAACAGGTGGGCAGGAAGCTCCGGCTCCCTCAGTTGGTCGCTGGCTCCCTTTAGAGGCGTGAAAGTGGCCCAGGCTGCTCCTCTTCTCCTGTTGATTCTTTCCTCAAGTCGTTCTCCATGTTCATTGAACGTTCGAGATACACGTAAGAAGACGTCTCCATGATAGAAGTGTCTTCCAATTCCATTTCCGCATCTTCGCAAAGGCCGTTCTTCATAAAGTGAGTCTTACTCTGTGTTTCTCGCCATCCAGTCTTCTTCCCTTCTTTCTTTAGTTCCTTCAGCACCGTCTCCGCTTCAGTGATACTGCTCAAAAGAAATACGATGCCGTCCGCAAAACGAAGTTCGACAGAACCGATCAACCCGTACGCCTCTCTCGCACTTGTCCGGTGACTTCATCACCCACTGCAAGGCCGCAGTAAACACCCTACTGGGATGGTCAGGGAGCGATGGAATAGCTAAATCTTGACGCCTATAAGGTATCGGTTTTCCCTAACTCGCAACAGCGCTTGATGGTCAAAAATGCTATATATTAGCCATAATTATGAAAACTTGTTCGAAACTTTGAAATGATAAATCGTGCGAAAGTTTGAACTCGCTTTGAGGCAATTAAAAGACTGCACATTATTGTCGCAGCCTCTATAAGATAGGGGAAAGATATTTCATCAATGATTTTATGTAGTTCTGTTTGTTAAGAACGAATTTTATTTTCTCTTGAATTTAACAGAAAATTGAATTGGAATTCATAATGAATGTTCAATCTTTCATATTCTTGTAGCGAGTATGATAACTATGTAGCTCCACTTTCAGTACCCGTCGCCGTTCCTGATTCCTTTACTTCTGTTGATTCTTTGGGTTTTGCTCCCGGAGCTAAACAACACGATACACAAAAGTGAAGCATCCAAGCTGTGATACCTTCAACAATTTCGGCTCGTTCACTGGCTTCCGCCTCTGCTTGCTCTTTGAGTAATTGTTTCTGCCGTCGCTTTGCCTCCTTTCCATCTTTTAGCATTTGCTTGAAAGGACCGAGTCCTGCTTTAGAAGCTAGTGGCAGCAACATATCATATCCTTCCTCTATCATCTGCAACGCACGAATTATTCGGCAGTTCAGTAAAAAAATTTCAGAAGCTGTGCTTGAAGTTGATTCTATGAAAAATTTTTTATCACGAGACCAGTACAAGAACTGCAACTACTTACCCTTCCAGCTGGGGTAAATTTCAATACTAGAAAGCCGACGTAAATAGAAAAAATCACTGCCGCTGTCGCCAGTGAACCAAGGGCAAGGAAAAGTCCAACTGGGATTCCAACTAATGCTATAGAAGCCATCTAAAATAAAAAGACAATTTCTGGAAGTGGGTCACTGATTGTCTGATATGCATTATAAAATTTGATTATAAATTCGTAAGTTTGATTATCAAGTCTTCCTTGTCATGGCAATTTTTCCGCTTGAAATCGAGTGCTATGTACAACTTTTCCCGCATTTTGAATTTTCCAAATTTGGTAAATTATTTTAGACTTGTTTTGTACAGCTCGTCTACATATTCTATTCTGGTCCATAGCGTATGGCACATTTACTGTGATTCAAGGTGTCACTTCTATGCAAATCAGGAAATCATTTGATAAAACATTGCTGCATTATGAAAAAAATCATAAAAATTTCATACTTGCCTTGAAAGCGACCAAAATCCATTCCTGAAATGTCAGAAAATCCGACTTTTCCGTGGCTTTGTTGTACACTCTTTGTGCCAGAAACGTAGGAAATGCGAAGAAGATAAATAATGGGATTCCAATCTTAAATTGGGAAATAAAATGTGATTAATGTCTGGGGAAATTGCAAAACATACGAAACAAGCAAGGAAGAACACTGGAGAATAGATAGCCAAAGCAAAAGCTCGCAAACTTATGGCCAGATTTACCCAAAATAGACCACGTTCAATATCATCATAGCCAACGCGACAAGTCTGACCTAAAACAACCATCTGACCCATTGTGTATCTGCAACAGAAATCGATATATTGATTACCTGCAAAATGCGTGATGCTTTCTATGGGGTCCCCACATTGCCAACAAAATCTTGTTCTACAGCGTAAATTGGCGCAAGTCACATAGCTACAGCCAAATTTTTCCGTGTACATTGACTGAAAAGATACAGTATTAATCGATGTCCTGGATCGATATATTGATTAGTGCAACCTTGCACAGTGGGCATTGTTTAACCATGTCATTTCCGCCAAGTGCATAGTAGATATTGTCCTTATTATGATAATACTGTAGCCACTGACGATGATCCAATGTCATGTATAGATTCAGGCCATCCTAAAGAGACAGTGGTTCAGAACGGGCAAAGGGTGTCTAGATACTGTATGGATACTGTATGCTACCGTAGTCATGTGACTTGCGAAGAATTGTGCTACACGACGCCATAATCTGCTACATAAATTGGGCAGTGAGGGGTGGGGGTGGGGGAACGAAGTCCGCCAATTTGGGTGGCTTCCTACAGCAATACGGCAACTCTGCAAAAGGGCCAGTTGCCAGCGGAGAGGGTTCAAAACTGGGGAGTTTGTTCCCCTATTCCAGTGTATGAGTGGGGAGAGGGGGGGGGGGGGTTTCGTGTGCCGCTCATAGCGAAAACGCGTCGTGTCACGCGTCGCATCTACTGACCATGTCTTGACGTTACGGTAGAATGTGCGAAAGGGCCATTTTCCTAATCGATCAAGATTCCATTCCTGGTTTTGGGAATTGTTATGTTCAATATTGTTTATGAGCTATCTTTGCTCGTGAACTAATTTTATGGTGTAAGTACTCGATTGATAAAAAATGGGTGAGGACCAGTTTTCGCATTCTGACAGATTAGTAGAGCTCAAACTTACTTCCTGCTCGTCTAGCACAGCATTTATATCATTTTCATGTATCCTCGTTGGGCAAGTTAATCCCACACATTTTATCCGTGCTTTTGATTTGTCTCTTATCCAAAACTGTAAAATCAATCGATATTCATGTTTTTGATGAAACTCAATACGGTTGATTTACCTTTAGATGGTCTAATATACATGCTACGCAGCTGACATGGCCACATTGACGAAGTACTATTCGAACACAGTTTATCTCACCACATCGTACGCAGTTATAACTTTTCGGAGTGACGGCAGCTTCCTAAAAATCGATATATTGATTGGAGTGACTCTCATTGCACGCAAGAAAGCTTCTTTTAAAGTGATAGCCCTACAGCGGCTCCTAAATGAGCAGGATGACTCAGCGGATGATTAGTGTTAAGTGTTGAGCCGGAGAACGAAGGCCTATATTTCGTCAAGTAGTCTCGAACGCGGCGGTCGAACACAATCATCAATGGAGCGCAATAGTAAGGGTCATTGATAGTTCGCGCGCAGCGTTAGCGAACGCAACGTCTCGTAGAGACATTCATCCGGGATTAACTTTGAACATGTAAACGAACAGAGTATTCAACTCATAAGTTGCCGTCGTTATGATGTAAATACACGTGCATTTAAATAACACCCTCAATTATGAAAAATTCCGCTGAGAACTTTGATGCTACCCAGGCTATTGAGCTGGACAAATAGTTCATTACTTGAAGCTGTAGCCATTCTTAGTCTCATCGAACATTTCAGCGAATTCTAGCCTCTTTTCATCCCACTTGTAAGCTTTGATATATTTTGATGTGAGTTTTGCATGATTCTATGCTTCCGTTATTGTGAGATGTCAGGAGAAAAGAGAACAAGATGCTCCACTGCCTTGCTAGAACCACAAATCACAATTGGATCCATTGTAAGCTTTGCCGATCAGATTTGTTCAATTAGACTGTACTTTTTCTAACATACCTGCTCTTACAGCAACATCAGCAACCTGAACCCTCTCTTACCAACTTCACAATAACATACAAAGATTACCTTCTGCAGCATTTGCACTTCGTCAAAACTCGACCGTTGGAGCTCTCTGTAGTGGACGAAATAAAGTGCAGAAACATTGGTTGATTACAAAACAACGGTCTGTTTTTGTTTTCAAGCTTGGAAGTTAGTTCATGAGAATGATTACGAATGAAGTGTAGTCTCCTGAGTTTGGCTCACCAAATGTCATATAGTTCTTAAGGGCCGGGCATACTTCATGCGATTTCAGTTGCGACGCGATTTGGCAGTTTGCCATAAGTGTTCGAATCCAACACTAGCAATCTGCACATGCATAGTGTGTATGACTTACGTAGATTGATAAAATGCCCTATCTTCTGTACATTTAAAATGTGTTTATAATGATGATGTCTGCATTTGTTTACATGTCTTGTTCGTTTCCACTGTATTACTAACTTCTTGATGTGTCTTTTTTTTATGGAACGCCTTGAGCGTACAAATGAAATGAAATGAAATGAAATTATAGTGAGTTATGGACAGTTGGAATATTGCCAAATCGCGTCGCGACTGAAATCGCGTGAAGTATGCCCGGCCCTTTATGCTGGTGTATGTACGCGTGTGAGGTAGCATGACAGAATTTCAAAATCATTTTCGGGAGTCAGTACTTAAATCTTAACAAGTTTCAAATACTTATTTCTCATCTTAAATCAGAACAGTCGTATGGAACTTTAGCAGTTCTTTTCTAATGGATATGCTTGCCGTCCAATAAAGCTCACGTTCTCTAAAATATACAACTCACATGGAACCGAGATCAGGCCTCGGCAGAGCTCGCACCAGGAAAATTTTGAAACAAAGTCCCTTTCGATCTTGAAAAATTCGTGAAATGTCCCCGACCCTAAACCCTAACGTAAGACCTCAAAAAAAGAAACGTCGACTAAAAACATCGCAATGTTTGTGTTTCGGCCACAAAAACTGCCAGATATATCCTCTTCGCTTTTTGTCCCAAAAACGATATCCAGCTTGACCTGGTGCCAGCTATGCCGGGTACTAACTGAGATGGACGAAATTTTGTTCAATTCTTGATCCAATTAGACTGAAAAAAAATTGTGAAAGATTGTAAGCACTAAGTGCATAGTTTTACCAGCTGTGCTATAATTATATAATAGTTCCACTGATCGCCAAAAATCCAATACGCAAAGAATCCAAAATCAATTAAAAATGTGATCAGCATAAATAAGCTGTACCTATCACAATCACGACAATATCGCTGATTAAAACTTGTCTGCCGACGATGTTACTGTTGGAAAATTTCAAGCTACTGATTATACGACAAACGGACAGGTTGTATGTCACAATTTCGTAATTTAAAAAATTAGTTTTAGCGAACTTGGTCTTCAAACGATCTACAGTACGGTGAAACCATTGGAGATCAAAACAATTCGATGCCGTATCGCACAGTTTCAGCCGATGCCTACAACGACAACCCCAATCATTTTTCTTCATTCGACAAATGTTTACCCTCACCTTTACGTCTCAATTTATCTTTCTTATAGTTTATCACAGTTACCAAGGTGCTGCTATATGTTTGCACTTTGTTTCACTTCACCATAACAAGAGAATAAATGCTTTGTCCTCCACATCATTATGCCACTACTTTTATTTTTATGTGCAGATGTGATGTTAAATTGCTTCGGTTGAAGTAGAAAGGTATGTCACAAAAGTATATAAAGAGAAGCTGGTGTATAGTATTTTACCTTTAATTTCATAGCTTAAAGAAAATTTTTTGTCTATTTTCAGTATTATTCTGAGTAGTGTTTGCAACAGCGGTGTTTGAAAGTTTGAAAGCGATATCGCTAATTCGCAGAGCCTTTCACATATTAAGCCAGCTGCGATAGAATGTCATTGTCTTATAGGCAGTGTCCAGGCAAATCTGGGCGCATGGGTTTTCCGCCTGAAAATTGATGAGGGGGTCCTACAAGACACTGCCCAAGGGGCAGCGCAAATTGTTCATTCACGGCTGAGAAATCCTTCCCCGAAATCCCCGCGCCTGCTCCATGACCGTCCAAAAACGGCTTCGCCCACTTTAACATTATGTTCGCGCTGGGACCCATCCTAAGTGTTACGGTCACGGCGCAGCCGCGAAGTATTTGGGGTTGGATTTCTAAGCCGTGAATGAACCATTTGCGCTGCGGTTTGGGCAATGCCTTAGCCAAGGCCCGGCGGGGGTGGCGCTTTCACAAGCTGGATATCGTTTTTGGCCCGAAAAAGCAAAGGAGAAGTCGTATTTTGGGGTCCGGCGCGGAGCCCCGGACACCAAAATACGACTTCCCCTTTGTTTACCGATAAACAATGCACATATCATTCTTTGTTCATCATTCCTTGTTGATGCTACTGTCCTATGAACTTAGATTCCAGCAACGTGAAGATTCTGTGCTCCGATCGCTAGCCTGCCCGCAGGCGGGAATTCAAATCGCAATTCTTGTAAGAGGAAAATAACAAAATGGGCTCGTTTTCAATGCACAAGTAACGATATGGCACCAAATTTGCTGTGTAGTTGGAGGACCATGAGCACAAAAAAAGTATGGAGAATTATGAGATACTTATGTGAATTTAAAAAATGATAAGTGTTTTTCGAAATTAGGTGGCTCCCGCGCCACCTGGGAGCCACCTGGTGTGGCTCCCTGCTTCCCTTCACATAATTTCCCGGATTTCTTTGCATAAATATGGACTAGGTCGAAAGTATTACTATATGTTCAAATCCGCTTCCAAAACCACCAAGGCACCGCTTCGATACAGCCCCAAATAGGGTTCACAGCGTTATGATCGGCCTCGGAAAGCGCGCTCCAATCGCAATCGGTTATTGTAAATTGTAAAGTTTCGCAGCTGACTAATAAACGAGTAGTATCTTAGATATATAAACGTCAAAGTTTGTGCAAATCTTGACCCTATGTTTTTTATACCTTTGCGGATGAACCCATTGAGCTGAAACCTTGATGACCCGGGTGGACCAGGAAAGCCAGGTAGTACTACTATAATAAGCGCTGAGGCCGCCCATCTTATTATTTGTGTATATCTGTTTGTCAGGGACTTACGGGGGTCAAAAATAGGGTCAAAGAGGAAGTCGTAAGAAATTTTGGCTTCAAAGGGGACATCGTTTTCAAAATTCTGAAATGCCACCTCCTGCCGGGCCCTGGCCTTAGCTAGGACCTTCTCATTAGTTTTCGGACAAAAAATCCATATGCTCAGCCTGGACACTGTCTATAAGCCAGTTCAAAGCCGTTGTCCAACTGTGACCAATCGATATATCGATCGGCGCCAATGAATTGGATACGATTCGGCCTCCACCTATGCAATGTTTCGACATCAATTTTCCAAAAAATAAACAAGTGTGACGTTTCGAACTCTAAGAGGGCGTATATTCCAGTAGAGACGACTCATATAGTGCCCCCGCTTGGGCGACAACGTTTGCGAGGAAACAAATGCGATGCTTGTTTATGCCGACAATTTGCTTGCGACAAGCACTCAGATAACCGCCGGGGGCAGGCGGCCATGCGAATTTTGGACAAGCGCGCACCGGAAAAATAGTTCGTTGATTTTTTGCGGCCCGCTTGCAGAAATTTGGAAGAAAGTTGGCGAAATTAAAGGCGAATGCTTGAAGAACAATCGCGGTTTCTTTATGGATTAGCTGCGGCGCAGTGGCCGCATTCTCGCGGACTTTCCGCGAGAATATGCAAAAATTTCGGGGGCCGCACGGTCCTTTGTGGAGGACCGCGCAACCCCCAGGTACTTTCCGCTGAGAGAAAGTACCTCAAACTTGAGTAATTAAACCAACGGTGACACCTCTGCCACACAGAGTCTTACCTGCGCTCGACGTACGCCCGAAAATGCCTAAAAAGAGTACGAGCGCTTGCTGAAAGTTTGGGCAGCGCTCGCTGAAAGAAATTATTTGCCGAGCGCTTGCAAAAAATGCTGTATTGCTGCCCGCTGGCAGAATATGGAAGTGCCGCCCGCTGAAGGTTTGGCCATGCCCCAAAACTCTGCTGACCGCCTGCAGAAAAGCGCGAGTTTGCGGACCGCCTGCCCCCGGCGATTATCTGAGCAGATCATAAATGCCTTTAGAACAAGTATTGCTAATACGTACATGCAGATGTTGTCGAAACATTGAAACACCTTAATAACCCTTAAATCTACTGGGCTAAAAGCAGGGAGTAAAATTTCTGCTAAGCGAGCATGGCATCAATTTTACTTCTGAATATGTCAGTTTTGTAAAAACATTTCGACTTCGTAGACAAATGTTGACCGCATATTATTGTTCGCATTTGAAATTCTCTTCTGGACCTACATTTGCCTCTCATTTTCTTCTCTACCCTTTTCGGACCCAGCGGGGCTGGTGTTTATAAGCGACAATAATCTGTTGTTTTCTGTTTTTTTTTGATTCGTCTTTCTTCGAGTTCGTCTTCGATTTTGATTCATTGCATTATAAGGGGCTCATAAGTTTTTGGTCTTGAAGGGTGTCTGGTTTCTGAAACTTCAAATAAACCACAAGAATCAAAATAAACCACTTCTTAGAGGTTTCCTAATATTGCCTTCCCTCCTTTTAGCCCTAAATTCCTTGCCATGTGGAAATTAACTTCAATTCCAATGTTATGGAAGTGCATTGGTGAAATATGATAGCACGCTCTAAAATCTTCTAGAAAAATCTTCTAAATTTTTTTTGCTCCAAGAAATCTATCTTATGCGAACAAACAAAGGTGTCAATCCTGACCTCATAGAGCATAAAAGATCAGAATTTTTACAGTTTAATTTTTTTTCTCACCAAGTGATTGTGAGTAATTGCTCAGCACCAGTTGGAACATAGTCATATGTTATGAACATATGGGTTGTGTGAATTATACTGAATTTACAAAAAAATGTGATTTGTAAAATGCTGTAGTCAGAGTGGGTTGTGGTGGTTGGGTTGGTTTCTTGGTGGTTGGTATTTTCTTGGTTTCTTCAATTCTTTAGATAATTTTTGTAGTTTTTAGACGTGTCTGCGTTCACTGAACTTCTATGTCTCGAGAATTTTGAAAAAAAAAACAAGGTCTTCTACTGCTCAATGTTTTAATTTTTTTCTCCTTTGAAACATTATTATTTTTGTTCAAATATGCAAATGAGGAAGTTAATTCTCAAATTTTATGGAAACTATTCCTCCTTTTCAAAGCTGATGAAATATTGTCCTTTCTCAATCTTATTTTCAGTTCGGCAATCATTTTTCCACTCTATTGCATTTTCATTAATTTCTTAAGTAGGAACTCAATTACAATTCCAGTTTGCAACACTTGTTCCTGAAATTGATCACCACATCATTTTTAATCTCTAAAAAAGTAAGAACCTGGGTTTGTCTTGCATAGAATCATTTATTTTCTAATTTAATCAAAGATTTGAGCATTAATCATAGAACTCGAACACAAGTTCTATAGAAGCTTTTTTTGTAATAAATTACAATAAATGCTATGATGGAGCTATTAAACGATCCTTAAGAGGCTAGTTGGTGGTAAAAAAAATCTAATTTAGCGGAGGTTTTCCCATAAGAGAAGCTAGTCGAGGTGATTGTGCTTGGAGCCTAATAGCCGAATAGCTTGGAGTACTACTGTCATATTTTACTTACTCCCTTAGTTTCCCAGGGAAAGTCCCAGGGGTATACTTTCTTCCCCACCTCTCCCAAAGGGAGAGATTTACTATTTCCGTGTGTGTCTAGCCATTCAGAACCCGAACCCGATTACGTCCTTTTCCTTCTTATTGCTCTTTGTCTGTTGCAAATTTTAGCTGGTGTGACTGCGTCCAATTGCTCTGAAATTTTCCACCAATTTGAACTTTTTCACGAAATTTTCCCGCAAATTTTACTCAAAGTAGTGTCATAGTCATAATTCTTAGCTTTGAATTGCTAGAGTAGCACATAAGAATTTAGAGTCATACCAATAGAGTAGAACTAGTTTTGGAAACGTATCATGCTTCCTTTAGATTCGTACTTAATCATTTTTGGTGCTGAGTTTTTGTAGGAGAAGTAATTTGATCATAGCGAATGCTCACTATCTCGTTGAATAATATATTTCATGCAACAAAAAAAATTTTTTTGGTGCCTGTACCAAAATCACAACAATCGTCATTAAGAATGTTTGCCTATCTTGAACTCGTTCTCAATTGTCTGATGGAGTAAAAATTTTGTTGATATAAGATTCGAGTTTGTGGTTTCAGTGGAAGGACAATTAATCAATTGATCTCAAATAATAGTTATGTACGAGCCTAATTTATGGCTCAGTGTAGCTTTGGTAATAAAATAGATTTATCTTAATGAATTACGGCTATCTGCCCTTTCTTTCACGATAATTCCAATTTTTTGTTGGTTCTATGGGCTGGCTATTGTAGCAATTTTTACAGGATCCTTTTACGAGAAAGTTCTTTCGCATTAAAAAACAATTCTGCAGCCCTCAGTTTGCGCTTTTTACATCTGTGAAGAATGAGGCCGAAGTCAGTACCATTGTTTTGGAAAATTTTGAAATATTTGCTTAGCTCACGACTCGTTCAGATTGCGCTACCTGTATGTCTAACATATTGAATCGGCTTAGGTAGGCAGGTTTCGATACTCTTGGGTTTTAAAGAATTCTTGAAGATCACAATCGGTTGGAAAATTCTTGCCCAACTTTACGATAGGAAATCTCTTTTCTCAAAGGCGTTCCGCTCCTCCCTTTAGAAAAGGATTGCGAAAAACTAGCATTTTGTTTAGAAGCAGGAACAAGGCTTTGTTTCTGATTCATTGTACTCTTTCTTGTACTGCGGTAAACTTGGAGAACATTTTCTGAATCGCTCAAGAATGCCCACACATTCTTTTGTTAGAAATTTTTCCTTTAGTTTTTAAATTCATCGAGTACTCAAAACCTGTTATAAACCTTTGTGATGCTTCAAAATTCATTGTAAATATTCTTAATTAGAGGAATCGTTTATCAAGAAAAGAATTTGTTGATCTTTCTTTATAAAACTCTGGCAAACCACTTGACAACTGCGACATTTGTTCTTGAACAGTGATAAGTATTTTCTTCCAAAAAACAACTTCAGAAATTTAAATTAATGTATTCAGTATGTGGAGAGCCCAGCTCAATGACAGTACGTTATGATCCGATAAGGATAGAATTTGACTAAAAAAAATTGTCCTTAGGCAGCAATGAGCAAATTCTCCATAAGTGCTTGTCTGGTATAATTTGTGCCGAGTGCATTATTTGCTGTACTTATGATCTTCTTTCCTATTCCACTAAGGGTCTCATAGTCAGATCTGTGCGGAAATCTTACACTTATGGCAAAGAACCAGTTTTTCTAGACTAGAAAATCGCTGCGATTTTCAACAGTCAAAGACACTTGTGTCCATTCTGGCACTATTTTGTGCTTATGTTTTGCGTTTGTGTCCACTCCCACATATGATTGGAAAAAGAATGGAAGAAATTGTGTAGATTGTCCAATGCAATTCTGGACTAGTGACTGTGTTGATTTTTGCAAAAAAGGACGAAATTTTAACCTTTGATTCAACTGCCTGGCGGCTGATAGGCGGAACTTTGTGACCTAATTAAGGCCGCTTGCGCCCGTGACGCAGCTGCGCCTCTCCCGCACGCTTGCCTTCTGATCATTATCTAGCCTTAATTAGGTCATGAAGCCCCGCCTTCCAGCCACCAACTCAGTTGAATCAAAGGTGCATCATACCGTCTTCTTTAGAATTATCATTTTATCCAAGAAATGATCCCTATACAAGATGGCAAAAGAGTCTTCAACATGTTGCGCTACCGTAATCTATAGAAGTACGATAGTCATACGGTAAGAGAAATATTTTCTCTTCATCGTCTTTATTATTTTTATGGGTATTTTGCAAGCCATAAGTTAAATATATAAATGGCCTGATGAGAGTTTTTCAGTATGATACCGTAATCTCTAGGGTTACTGTAGTCATGGATAGTAGGTAGGTACATACGATCAGATTGTTTGTTTCATTGTCCTTGCCATCTTGGTGAATATTGGTGTTGGTTTTCATAACACAAAGAACGTTCGCATCTGCGTGATGTCTTTTTACTGGGATACGGTAGATATACGGTAAGAGCTCGAAACATCACTTCAAAATGAATGCCCTACGCATATAAACTGTAGATTATGGTAATACTTCTCATTTGCTAAACGATGTCGTCATCTTCGTATGGATCTTTTTTCCAATCTGTAAAATACCCTTCTTCAAGTGTTCTACTTATCAAGTTATTAAGTTGGCTAATAAATTGAATTCTTGTCCATGGTATTTCTAGAGTAAGAACTTCAATGAGAACTGGATTGTAAACGCTTGAGTAGGGAATATTTTCCTATAAAAAAATTGAGAAACCCCAATTTCCTCAATGTGCGCAAACGTGAGAAAATTTCTTTCCTCTCCAACCAAAGAATTTCGAAATAGCAGATCACAAAATTTTATTGATTTGTTCAATAGAGAACTTGGGTATATTCACATACCACATTACTCATTATATCAGCATGAAACGAAGCTTAAAAAGTCATGAAGTAAGATTTTGGAAATTTGGCCATATTGGGGCATGACTGTCCTTTACTGGTAATAGAAAGCAGTAGAGTCTTTGACCTACTTTTTTATATAAAACGAAAAAAAATTTTTTGTAGAGATTTGCATGAGAAAAACGACGTCAGTTTTTGGCCAACCTAAAATAATTAATTATTGGTATTTGATTTTAGAGATTTTTTTGAGTTGCTACTCTCAGATTTTCTTCGCATCATTATTATTTTTTTGGTAAATAATTTGCATCATTATAATTTTTTTGAAAGGTACATTGCATATAATAATTTTTTGATAGGTACTTTGCATTAATATAGCTTTTTAATAGATTTTAACATTTGAGTTCTATGTATTTTATAGCTGTCAAAATTTCTTCTTTACTGAAAACAAGAAAAGTAGCTGATGTTTATTTCCTCCTTCTCTCGCACTAAACACCATATGGTAACCCTGACCTAGAAAACATCTGTACGGCAGTGTTTTTCTCGTCCAATTTCCTCATCACCAGCAAAAAAACGTGCCATTTTGTCACGTCGTTCAGCGTTCACTACATTTCGTCCTGATCGTTTATGTGCAGAGTTTTTTCAACGATGTTCTACTTCTTAACCGGCCGCAATCCGCGCCCAAGGTCGCCGGATCAGCCGAAAGTGAATGATAGGCGCAATCGGTGTGTAAAATTATATTTCTCGCAGAATTCTGCATGTCCAGTTGTCCAACAGCCCCGGGTTCGACCGAGCCATTCGTCTTACCTTCGGACAATTGCGAATCTGTTATTTTACAACGTTTTTTGCCTCAACGGGGCCAATTGTTAGCCGCGGCAGCGCTTTGAACTCGATTTTCTAACTCGTTGCTAATTAATGATGTCCTCTACTATGCATGTTGCCGAGATCATTTAGTGCATGGACTCTGCCCTCTTCCTCCTACTCAGCTATAAACTCTTCAGTGGTAGTTGAATAGTGTCTGCAAGGCGCTCAGCAGCGTTTCTATTCTTACTAGCGATTTAGGAGAAATTTTAAATAATTCATCTCATCATTAAGTAGATCAAAAGCTCTCTTATCTATCTTATCGTTTCTATTCTTACTAGCGATTTAGGAGAAATTTTAAATAATTCATCTCATCATTGTTGAGTCCCTCCTCCAGTCCCACAATCCATGTTCTTTTTTCCTTTCTGCTTACCCTTCCCCTCTTTTTCATTTCTACCCGTTTCAAGATTTTTCCCAAGCACTGCATGATTTTCCAACATTTTTCTTCATTAGCTAATCTTATTCCAATTAAAATAATTTAAGGTTTGAAAAGATATGGGCATGGATCTTACAATTGTGAGAACTCTGCGACTTCTAAGTACAGATTTGAAATTCGAAAAATAATTTTTTTCTAGAGACGATAAGACTTTTTTTGACCAGGCCAGGAAGCATGCATTGAATGTTTGAGAATATTCGGCATTTCCTGTTCTTTAGACTACTAGACAATTCTATTCTCAATTTTGCCAGTACTTTGGAGTTCTGATCACGAGGAAGCAGAATCAATTTGAAACGTAAACAACACTGGGCATATCTGTTTGCCCAAAATTTTCATCGCACCATTCAAAAATTTCCCCAGAAAGTACCTATAAATTTTTCTTATCTCTGTTTGGTAAATTAGGCCACAAAACTGTTACCAGCGGTTCCATATCTGTTCTAAACAATTTTTGAAGTTTTCTGCTTCAAAGTTTCTGCTTTCGTCACAAACTTCGCTCGCTTACAAGCCATAGCTCGTAAAACTTCTTTTGAAGTCATTCTAAAACTTTCCAATTTTTTAAACTTGATGATGGAAAAGAGGCAAAATCGGGTCATCTCTGCATATGTGTTCTTACCTACCAGGCGCTCAAATCCTGTAAATGACTTCCTCCTTCAAACAGAAGTAAAGTCATGCAAATCGAGTGACAGAGCTCGACATGCTTTAATTTTTTAAAAGTTTCGCGGTTAAATTTTCAGCCAATTCATAATTTTATTTAACCTTACAAAGTTTAACCATTATCCTGCCGTGACTTCAGTTCAATTCTATGAAGGTCCATGACTTTGGCGGCATTGCAACCTGCAAGATTTCTCTACAGGAATGATGCGATTATAGATTAAAATATTGAATGTTCTGGTTTTGAAAATAGATTTAGCCTCAAAAAAATAGAAGAGGAGGCGAACACTCTGCCATTGGGAGGTGCACGTTCACGCAAATCTCAGCGAGTACTTTGAAGTAGGGGCTTTGTTAAAGGGGATGCTGCCATGCACTTCGTGCACGAGGAGTACCCCTCTTCAATGCCATCCCATTTCTTCACCGAAAAGCGAATGTGGAAAAGTGCATTTTATCTGTAGTGCTGCTATTTTTCTGCAACGCTTTTGCTGAAAAGTGGGGCGCAAAGGGGAGGAGCGGGAGCGTAAAGAGTTGGCAATGAAAGACTGTATAACTTAATAGCTATAGAGTTATAACTTCCTTGTAGCGCAAAATCGCAGTTTTCAACCCTTCGAATAGTTTCATATTACTACAAACAACATTGACCGTTATTTTCTCCACGTGCTTCCAAAATTCTTTTGTGATTGTTATCAATTTTTTTGCAATATTCAAGAAGAATCGCGCTGAAAGGATGAAAGATGTGCTTATGTACATTACTTTTCATTTTCACATCTGTAAGAGCTTAATCTTTTTTATTTTTCCTCATTAACTATCTTCGGGTCATTTGCGAGTTCATGTGTGAGTCTACACACTATGCGCGGTGTTCGACGATATCCTTACTAGTGACTCCTCAGTAAAACCGTTCCTATCATAACAAACCTTGAAAATATACTCTACTATGTAATCAACACATATCCAATCAAACAAGAGAGATAAGGAAAACTCACACAAAATGAGCAGTTCTTATATTAAAAGTCGTAAAGTAGCATGCATGGTGTGCAATACGCACATCCAGTCACAAATGACTTGGAGGTGTGAAAAAATCTCATCATACAACTATATTCGAATTTCTGCATTTTTTGAATTAAACCCATGCTGAGGATTGCCTCTGAAAATAATTCCAGAAACAATTCTGTTTATAAAAAATTTCGCTTATTCAATTTGGTACACGAGAAATTTTTTTTTCCGAGATGAAATCCAACACAGTCTTTAATCACACCATCACCACGTTTTCAAAAACAAATGGTTGTATATAGCATGGAGCAAATACTTTGAAAAGAAAACAACAAAAAGTGGATTTTTTCGCGAAATTTATGATTTTTGAGGAGAATGAAGGGAGGAGTGTTAAGATCATCTAACGTGATTTCAATTACAGATTTCTGTGCTGAGGTCATAAACTTTTCTTAACAAGTAGTTACCAGAGATACTTTTGGGATTTTCGTATCCCTTATCTACGTTATAAGCCCCCACCCCCTCTCTCCCTCCAATGCAATGCTAGAAACTTGATTCATTCCCGTGTTGTGCAGCATTTCGTTCATCTCACCACGATAGTGATCTCAACATACTAATCTACTTACTAGTTTCAACGCTTGTCGATCTCATATCCCATATAGTTCCCTCCCTCCCCCCCCCCCCCCCAAAAAAAAAACTCAATTTTTTGTATGGCAAAAGGCCAAAGGCTATGTTTTCTGTTCCGCTCAAATCCAGCGGCTAGAAGTCATCGCGGATCTCATGGATGAATTCGCAAACGATGATCAGCTGGACAGCAAGAAGGATAACCATGCTTCTAGAGATATGCGTGGATATAGAAAATCAAGTTTTTGGCTCGAAAATCACCCTTTGAACCGGAATGGTCCTCTGGGCTTCATAAATCCTTGTTTCAGATATTTTTGCGCATCAAAAATTCGCCATTAGTCTGATTCATAAGTTTTGCACCAGAATTATTGAAAAACTGCGGTTATTCTAAAGTGTACAAAATTTTGTTCAACAGAGATAGAAGCAAATAAAAAAGAATCAAACCGTGTTTTTTCGGAATTTGGTTGTAATGCTAGAAGACCCAACAAAATTTGATTTTACTATTGATTATGGTTTTAAGACTGATTCTTTTTAGAAAGCAATTCGTACTGATCGTATGTCTCTATGATTAGTAATGACTTCGATTCTTTTATCTGTTTTTTTTTTCAATCGATAATTCGGATTTTTCATTCAAACTCTGAAAAGCATGATAAAATAGAACATTTGTGGCTATGAAACTATGTAACACAAACCATAACCTTCCATTTTTCATATTTTGGTGCAAGACTTTGATACAACCTTAAACTATCACTGCAAACCCATTCTCGCGTTTTTTCCTCCACTCCTTTAGCGAACGCCCTTCCCAGCCAGGTGCCAAAAGCAGCTTAGGCTCGATCGCGGTCGTAAAGCGGATTTCAGTTTCACTTTCGATTTCATTCTTGCCCAACTACATAAGATGTCAAACCTGTACTAAATACGCCGCATCATGACCGTTTAGCAACTTTTGATCACGTCTGCTTTTTAATGTCAGACGCACTGATTGTGGAAGATTTTACCTTTTTGAAAAAAGGCTTTTTTTGTGAAATCCTTTGAAAACAATTTTTTAAAGTGGTTTCGATCCAGTTAAGGTACTCAAAATGCTAGTGCTATATTAGTGATGCACTCAAAATGGTTTGTCTTTACGAATATTTATAAACGTTCAAATTTTGAAAGATAACGCAGTACGTATTTCCTCAACTTCTCCGCTTTTCTAATTCGCGGTTATCCAAATTCAAGTTCTGTTGGAGTGTTTTTGAAATTTGATGACTCTCTTTGCATTATACGATTTAGATATTGTTATAGTGCAATAATTTGGTTTTTTACAGATATTTTTATAGCATGAAATATGTTCGTCATCATTTTTTAAAAATTAGATTTTTTCAGTTGATCTTTTGAGCTGCTTTTGCATGAACTGAAAATTGCTTGATATTCAATAAAAATTTCGGAGTACTCAGGATGCCCTCTCCATTTTGGTGACGAAAATCACAAGATCAAATGGGGAAGTCTCGCTTGCAAGTAGTCGAGCAAATTGAAAGTGTACAAGAAAAATTTATTATGTGTTTTGTTACCACTGAAACCTACTTCGAAAATTCTCATAATCATGATGAATGCATACACAGGACAAAGCCCGAAAATGCGACATTTTTTGATTCACACAGTTTTCCAAAATGATATTTTGCTAATTTAGCATGAATGGGAATAACCTCAAATGTTTGCCGACACATTTGTGGGAGCATTACTCAGGAAATCTACGTGTATTTTACTATTATTTGCATCAAGAGCCCAACTCCTCATTTCGAAAAACATCTTCAATTAGAAACGTTTTCCAGTTTATGATGAAATTTCAAGTCTTCACTCACAAAAGAAAAACTTTCATATTGGCATAAGGACTTATTTTTCTACTTCTTTATTCCTATTGTTTGTACAATATATTATGGTAGTTAATCACATTGCGGTAAATCTTTTCGTCTACTTTCATTTCAGGGCTGAAAATGTTGACTTTGCCATGAAGTCAAGGGTTATATTTTATTAATATTTTACTAGGTTATTTTCATTATTATTATTAGTTATTACATAGGATTTATCTTAATGATAGCAAACAACAACATTTTGTGATTTTTGACGTTGTAAATTTCAAAATTCGGCAAGGAAGAGAAAACAAAGTTTTTTTAAAGGTTACGTGAACTTGACTGAGTCATAAGCATATTTTCATTGCCCTGGCAACTCCTTGGCATTGGGCAAAAGCTTTGCACTAATACATTTTATTGGATCTGCTGTCTGGACCATTGTTATTATGCCTGTCTCCAAGGCTACAAATAGTTCCGGGTTTTTTGCGCTTAAAATTTATCTTTCAAGCACCTCTTTTGATCTCTCCTGCTCGTCCTATTCTCCCAAATGTACGAAAATTTTGAAAAAAAAGTTTCAGGGTTTCCATTCCCTATGATCATCAGGGCTTTACTACTTCTAGGACTAATTCCATTATGTACAGCTATCTTATTTGTACAGGTGAGTAGATCATTTTGATCTCTTGATCTTTCGCAGAGATGTGGTTTAGGGTGTTATATGGGACAAACATCTAATTTGATGCTAGCGGAAGCAGTTTTTAACTTGATTTGTTTAAATTAGGTCATGGGCGATTAAGCAGGGTTTAAAACTACTCTGCAAAAAAGGAAGTGGATACTCAATCAGTAAAGTTGAAGGAAAACAGAACCAATAGGTCATTTTAATCTCGCATAATTTTCTCGCTTATAATTGTTAAGAAAGCCAAATGGCAAGTAAAAAATGAGATCAAACAAACGTTAGTTTCAACATTTTCGTGAAATATAATAAATAATGTATTTATATTTACTTAAAAATCGAGAATGAATTTATAATCCGAATAGTAACAAAAAAGTAGGTGTGATGGTCGAATAAATTTACATGACTAATAGGATTTTACTTATGTGCTAATATAGATTTTTTTAATCTCATGGCATAAAATTTGGGTCCGAGATCAAACAAATGAATTTATTCATTACAGCAATTTTTCGTCAAGGGTTTGAAATACTCAGGAAACCACAATTAACCTTTCCAAAGTGGTATTATTTGCAGAAAAACGAGCTTCGCATGGCGGAAAGCTTGGACGGCTTGTGGACTTTTGTTAGAGAACCGAAGAATGGTAACGATATCGGTTTGAGGAATGCGTGGTATGCACAGGATTTGAAAAGATTCAAAGTGAGTCATAAAATCCATCGAATTTCCAAAAAATTCTACACTAAATGGCATTTGTTACGCTTTGCTAGCAAGTGTTGCAGCCGGTTGTAAAGCGGTTGCGTAGCGGCTGCGTTGCTGTTGCATTGTAGTTTCGCAGCGTTGCAAGGTGGAAGTCACGAAACATAAAATCTAAATTGTTCTACTAAGATGGACTTTACTAGCTGAAGGAATTTTGGCAGTCGCAGTGCAACCGCAATGCGACCGCAGCGCAGCCATGCGCTGCCTAAATCCCAGATGCCCTTAATGACTGCAACAATCGTGTTTGATATTATAACTAGATCATTGCCTCTTTATAGTATTACAGAATGCTACAATAATGCCCGTACCAGCCGCCTATAATGATATGTCCGCAAATTCACAACTACGTGATCATGTCGGATGGGTATGGTATCAAACAACGGTGATCATACCGGAACGAGATATGGGACATCATATTGCCATACGATTTGGAAGCGTTAATTATTTTGCTAAAGTCGTGAGTGATTTTCTGTAATAACTTTTCTTCAATAAGGCTGGTTTCAGAGCTGCTTATGTGCCAGCACCGTGTCAGCGTGGTGCCGGATCGTCAATCGATCAATATGTCCGAACTGGCTCCGGCACCGCGTTGACGCGTGGCAAACTCTGAACGCAGCCTATTGCTGGAGCTTGATGAAAATTATGCTTTTTTAGTTTTTCAATTCTAAAGAAGTTGGATCTCATATTGGTGGACATTTACCATTTGAATTTAACGTCACTCAATTAGCTTTATTTGGCAGAGAAAATAAGGTATCTTTTGCTGTTTTTTTATTTACGAAATTTCTATTAATAAACAACTTTTCAGATTACGGTAGCCGTAAACAACACCTTGTCATGGTCCACCATTCCACAAGGTGATTTTAACTATATGCGAGACACAACGAGAACTATTGGAGGGCAAAATGTGGGAGTTTTTTTTTGAGAATTTCCCAAGTTTTTGATTTTCCTCCCACATTCGAAATATTCAGATCTCTCGCACACCTGACGGCGCATTTACAAACACGGGAAATTTCGATTTTTTCAACTATGCGGGTATTTTGAGACCAGTTTATTTGCTGAAATTACCACAAAGTCATATTGTGGACATAAGGATTCTCGCTGAACATATGGGTAATTTACCAACTTATATGTTTCCATCTTTTTCATTACATTACATCATTTATTGTCAAAAAAGTCCTCCTAAAATATGAATTTTCAATTGCTTACATTGGAATTCTTCGTTTTTCCCTTCTTAGTTCATAACAGATATTTACTTTCTTTAAAGAAAACCAGTGTTCTGACCCTTCTCGCGCTTCCTGGAGCTTTCTCGCAGTCTTCTTTTCTCAGAATATAGAAACAATTCTGCCCAAAAATGCTTCATTCTCTTCAAAATTATTTTAGGCTCCTTTTCTTACGAGGTCATTCTTAGCCAAAACAAATCCGATGAAGATGTTTTCGTACGTATGTATGATCCAGATGGTAACATTGTAAGTCTTTTTTCAGCTGTAAAAATTATTTGCCAACCTCGAATTTTAGGTCTATTCTGCTCGAGGTTTAGAACGAAAAGGAGCGCTGTCGACAGTAAGACCATGGTGGCCGAGAGGAATGGGAGACCCGGATCTCTATACTTTAGAGGTGAGTTGTTAAGGAAACCTCGTGATAGCAGCGTTTCAAAATGGTAAATCAATGCATTTTTATGGTTATTCCATCCTAGGCCATCTGTTACCAAAAGACCGAAGAAATTAAAATTACCCGACAGGTGCTCAGTGACGCTTTAGGGCAGTCTCTTCAACAACATGCGTGCCTGCCCGGTTAGCTCAGTCGGTAGAGCACCAGACTCTTAATCTGGCTGTCGCGGGTTCGAGCCCCGCATCGGGCTTATTCTTTGCGATTCGTTTTGTTGATATATTTTTTTAAAAGTGAAGCATTCAAAACTTACTCTTTCACAAGGAACACTGTTTAATCTACATTTAAACTTTTTAAACATCAAATTACAAGTGATATAACGATAGTAATTCTAATTTGAAATTCACAGCTGTACTCTATCAAATTTCTGCAATTTTTCAACTTTTTTCCCCTCTCAAATACGTAATCATAATTCTAGTGTTCCAAATTATTCACATTTTTATTCCTCAAAATTGTAATGAATTTTTAGGGCCAAAATTGAGAGTTACTCCCCTTAAATATGTTTTCACTTGCCTCTGTTTTTTCACATCACCAACTTTTAAGGTGGAGTTGACTGTACCACTGGAGCAACGTAGTTTGGATGTTTATCGCCAGAAATTCGGATTCCGTACAGTTGGCTGGACGAAAAGACAGATTCTGATTAATGACAAACCATTCTACTGCATTGGCTTTGGAATGCACGAAGATTTTGAGGTTTTTCATAGCAATTTGCAATTTTTTGCCGAATCGAGTTCATTTTGTTATAGATACATGGGAGAGGTTATAACCAAGTCGTGATGACAAAAGATTTGAATTTACTAGAGTGGATGAATGGTAATTGTTATCGAACTTCACATTATCCATACGCTGAAGAGCGAATGGAAGAAAATGACAGACGTGGTATTGCTGTCATATCGGAGACTGCTGGAGTGGGATTGAAGTAAGATTTTGTGACTAAAAATCTTCAAGTCTTCGAAGGAAATATCACAGTTTCAAACGCAGGGGCTTTTCGAAAGCAAATAATCTTCTTCATATGAAAATGTTGGAAGAGCTGATCGAACGAGATAAATCACATCCGTCTGTCATTATGTGGAGTTTGGCCAATGAACCAAAAACAGATAAAAAGGAGTCACGAGCATATTTCAAGTAAGTTTGAATTTTTCCCCTTGAATTTCTTTTTTTTATAAATTCAAACATGACATATCGGATCAGAAACGTCTGTGACTGATGCAGACAAAACCATATATCCGCTGTTCTTGTTCCCTCAGCGACAAGCGTCGCGGCCGCGCCGCCGCACAGTACGCAGTGAGCCTTTGCCTGCGTCGAAGCCTATGCGTAATTCCAAGAAACTTAATTGTAATTTAATAGTTATGATATCTCAAGGAATAATTTTTCCAAAACAGAAAAATCAGGAGATCTTCGACCTGTTGTAACTTCCATATTTGGCCAAAAAATTTTACGCAAAAAAAATGTATACCCTTTTTAAATGATGCACAATGATTGTTTTCTTACAAATCACACAGATAATAATTCATTAATGAAACCTTTTTCCAGAAATCTTGCTGATTACGCCCACGCACTTGACAAAACTCGTCCGATCACCATTGTCTATGGACCAACAAAGTATGACAATGACCAAACTGTGAGTAATTTTATTGCCGTAGAAAAACTAAAATCAATCGATAAATTTTAGCCAGATCTGGTAGATGTTATTGGTGTGAATCGATATTATGGTTGGTACATAGACATGGGACATCTGGATTGGGTAAATCAGAGCGTCTACTGGGATATCTCGCTATGGGCTGAAAAGTATAAACGTCCCGTGATCGTTATGGAATACGGAGCGGACAGTTTACCGGGTTTGAATCAGGTATAACTTCTTTGACCTACCCAAAGTTATTTCTCTATTTCAAACGGGTGTTATATATAGGAACCGTCAGTGGATTTCTCTGAGCAATATCAAAACGATCTCATCAAAGAAGTACATCATGCATTCGATGCTTTACGGAAAGAACATCGTCTCGCTGGCGAAATGATTTGGAATTTTGCCGATTTTATGACAGCCATGAGTAAGCCCTAAAAATCTGAAATCCGATTTAAACCTACTTTATTGCAATTTTAGCCACGACTCGAGTGGTTGGCAACCATAAGGGTGTATTTACTCGAACACGACAGGCAAAGATGGCTGCATACACACTCAAGGACCGGTATCGGTCGTTATTCGATCAAACCAACTTAGAGACGTGGAAATAGGCATTGTTTTACTCGTAACTTAATGTATAGAATTTAATGCATAAATTATTGTTCTTATGTGAAAAAGTGTTCTATTCAGTTGAAACAATACAGAAAGTGCAGATCCTTTCTTATCTCGAAAAAAAATGTACAAAGAACTTAGCCCCTATCCAAACATAATTATGGAAAAGTTTATTTACAGTTCAACTACAACCAAATCCGGTTAGTGTTCGTTGAAGTAGTTTGTCGAGATCACATGTAGATAAAAATGGTCACCGCACATTACGACGTATGATCAACGGACTAGATGGTTCGCCTATCGTCCCATCGAAGTGGATAGCCTAAACACGTCAAGTGACGGTAATCCAAGTATGGTGTGATTGCACTAAACATAAGAGTCGTAAATCGTCTACTAGGGGAAGCAGTTGCCTGGCAACAGGGTCATCAAATTCAACTGTGGTTGTGCAATAATACCAATATCAACTGCAGAATGAAAAAATAAAAATAAAAGAAATAACAATAAATAAACGAATAAAAAAATATAAAACTTTCACTTTTTCTTACAATAAAAGATAGAAAAGATAATGAGACATACCTGTAATTGTACAGTGATTTCCATTCCTGGTTCTATATCAGATATTCTGGCAGCATTATTGGGTGCACGTACGATACCACTTTCTACGCCATTGGTAAGAACTTTATACCCTAAAATGACATGATAAATGAAATGACTATCGTGCGTGGTGTTCTCTCTAATTACCTCGTACCAGCGGCAAGTCCCAAACAATTTCATAACATCCATCGCTGATTTCTCGAGCAACGCGTAAATTACAAGGATCTGGATTTTGCGGAGTTCCTATAGAATCTAACTGATCCTTGAGCGAATCGATGTCGTTCTGAAAAAGGAAACTCATCGGTTAAATTAACGCTTTTGGCGCAATTTTCCCCACCTTAAATTTGTTCGTCATTTCCACCAGAATCCCACTTAGCTGATCATTGATTCTTGTGAGATTCTCATTCTCGAAGCAGAGTTCGGCTACTTGCTCTTCTAGGCATGCTAACCGATGAAGGATCTCGTTCTATAAAAGGACATATAATCTCGCGACAGCAGCAGTAAAAGGATCCCTACCTCATTGATAATACTTCTATGATTATTTCTAAATCCCAAATCCATAGATATATCTGTAACCATTGGCACTGGACTCTCTCGCTTTTGTTTGGCGCTTCGCTAGAGAGTAAGGAATACTTATGAAACGAATTAAATCAAATACAATACATCTCTAATCCGTCTTCCATTTATCGCCCGCTCAAGCGCATGGTTTTGTTCGAACGAATCTCGAGTAGATCGTTGACCGACTACTTCCTCCTGAGATAGAGAACGAGTATCTATAGAATAACAGGTAAACAATAAGATTTCTAACCCGCTGAGGAGAGTCACGTTCCACACCTTGCTCCGCTTGTACACTTTTTTCTCTGAGATAAGTTCGTCCACTTCGGTCTACTCGGGCCGTGGTAGCCGTGGAGGAGACACCTCGCTGCCTTATGAGAAAAGGATTTCAACAGTGTAGAAGTTTGATTAAGGGGTAAGGTGAACTCACTGATCTTGATGTGCGGTAGCCGCCGGTACCAAGGTCACTGTAGAAGACGATTCCACTGATTCCATGGTGGAACTTCTAGATGGGGGTTGAAACTGGGCAGATGATCGGGATGTCATCGTCGGCTGCCTAGCTGGTGTTGACGACGCTGGCATTCTCGCCGAAACCGAACGAGAAGCTGAGATATAGAGTTCACACAAGTATTACTTGAAAGTTACAAGAACAAAGCACTAACCTCCACTCTCATCAGCACTTGAACTTGGTACGCGATTTTCTTTGCCTTCCAGTTGAGCCGCCCACGCTCGATAAGGGGAGTGAATGCTGAGTGACTGAGAGGAGTCGTCTTCATGAGTGCTGCTGTTCAGCATTTCCCGACGTTTTTCCATCGCCTACGATCAATCATCGAATGCAGGAGAACAGATAAGAAAGGAACATACCTTTACAACAGATTGATCCAGTGAAGAGACCAATTTTCCCTCAACATCGAATGGGCAGTACTTTTCCAAATGTTTAACCAAAGAAAGATGTGCTCCCGTATCGGGTTTGAACATTCGTCCCTTTCCTTGGCTGTAGAGCCATTCACCTGCAATAGCCGTTTTAGAAACTGAGTAACCCATTTTCCAGATAATCAAACCTTTCAACTGCTCCTCCTCGTTAACAACGAAACCATCGATATCTTGTAATGATGGCAGCACAGAGAGGATATAGATACGATAGTCGAACGTGATGTTTGACACACAGGGATTATTTGCTAAACGTTACAAAGTGATGAAGAAAATGATGGAGGTCATTTCTCACCTAAAGAAATTGAATCTAGTTTTTCCAAAGGCAAGAGACGCATAAATTCCGTAAGATCATCAATCTGGTTAGAAGAGACATTAAACAGTAGCAGTGATTTGGGAAAAGCAGCATGCTGAAACAATTGAGCTAGAAGTGCAGAATTTCCTACAAATGATGTGGCGAAAAAATATGTGAAAATAAGATTAAGAAAAAAGAAAAGTAGGAAATTATCTATACATAAAACAACAGAGAACTAAACTGGGTACCTTGAAAGACGTGATATGATTAGATGATACATCAAGATGAGTTAGCGATGTCAGCTTGGAGAGATCCGGTAGGGAGGTGAGGGCATTAGAACTGAGATCGATCCGAGTGAGATGACGATTGTCGAGTGTACTGGGCAGACTCTGCAAAAACTCTAAACAAATACAGAAAACTATAATAACCCTGACTTGTTCTACTTACCTCAATGTCGTTACATGAAAAATCTACGCTTTCCAAGCGAGCAAAAGAACGGAAATTATCCATGTTTTTGATGCCATTATTTGACAAAAGCAGAGATTTCAACTGCTTGGCTAAGGGAAGAAAAGACGAAAGCTTGTGAAGTTGGTTGTCCGTGGCGTCAACCTAAACACAAGAATTAATTTGTAAAAACGAAATTAAACATTCTTACCAACACACAATTTTTGAACATATCTAGTCCTGATATGTTGAGAAATCTGTTAGTCGCTATGATAAGCTTTCTTACGTTGGCTGTAACATGAACTGCAATATGATCTCAAAAAAATCAGGATGCAACGCACCATACTCCTTCCTGTACTTTCTATCAATAGCGTTCAAACCACGACGAGATAAGTCCAACACGCCGTTTTTACAAACAGGCGGCGGATGGTCATCATGGCTAGAATGAGACAGAAACGTATTTATGAGAAGTGGTATTCAAGCTAGAATTTGCCAAAGAAAAACCTTATAGATCCATCGAGACGTGACTGATTCCTAGACGTATTATGAGAGCTATGCTGGCTGTGATCCAATGACTGAGAAGTGTCAGGGGCCCTAAAGGATGTCGTAAATCACCTAACAGAGGGTTAAGAGAAGGATACCAACATGATGTGGCAAACCAAAAAGGAACGTCTATCGATAGCATCAAAGCTGATTCGAAACCTGCTTTCCGTTTCTGCGGAACAACTCTCTGGAAGAAGTTAAAGGCGTTTGGAATTTGTCAATTCTAACTGGCATAAAATTAACGAAACCTGCGCAAAACCGCTTGAAAGTGGGTAATCATTTCTACATCAAGTAGATATTGTCTGAATGAATGGAACAAAACCGGTAGAAATCCGCATAAGCATTTTTGTGCAGCTTTTCGCTGATTTTAAGCCATCTAAAGCTTAACAAATTTGGACATGAAATGCTCATAAATTCTTATGGAAAGTTGGTCCGCAGAAACGGAGCAGATTTGATCAGCGTTTAAAGCGTCTTGATGTACATTTCTTCTTGGTTTGCCAGATTATGTTGGTATCTTTCCCTTGTTAGTTGGATGTGGACTTACTCCTCATCATCGGCGTCATTCTGCGATTCAGCAGTATCCCCGTGACCGATGACATCTGATGGCTGAATGGGAGGTGGGGTCTGAAGGTGTCATTTCAAAGACAAAAGGGTGCATGTACGATTTTAACAAAAAAAATTTGCGAGAAAAAGAGAACATCCGTGTCAACAACGGAATCTATAAGAGCAGAATTTCCTTCAAACAAAAAAGGAAATATGAAGCAACTAAAGAAAAGATGGTTAAAAGAACAATAAGCTAAAAACAAAAAAATTTAAAAACAAATATATCAGAAAGAAATGACCAAGACAAAGCACTTACCGGCGCAACATCACTCTGAGTTGGTTCTTCACCTGCTGATTCTTCCTCTGCTTCTTCCATGGTATTCACCTTCGACGAGTAAAAGCTATTGAGCTAAGAAGTCACCTGTGAGTTTGACGGGCATAATTGCGCGCTCGGCTCCTACTACACAAACGCGATACTGCAGAATAGTTGACAGCAGCTGGCAGTAAAGTCCACAGTGGCACGTACTAAAGTTAGTTGTTTCTTTTCGTGGGCAAACAATTTCTGTTTGATTCCATGCTTCATATCTCCGAACTGAAAACTTGGTTTTGCCATAGTTGTTTGTAATCCGAGTGCGATCCGGATCGCATCCATATATAGTCTGCCCCAATCCCAACCAAGCCAAAATTGGCATGGCGGGAGTCCGCGTCGCCAGGCTTTGCGTCACGCCCAAGGCCTGCCTGCGTGCTCTCTCTTCGGTTTCTCCGCTCTCTCCGACAGTGCGCATATGAAGCGCAAACTACTGGCTCTGCGTGCGCGCAAATCTAGCAAATAATTCGGTGCATTTCAAAGATCGGGCTTTTTTTTTTGAAAAAGCAAGGGTTTCCTTGGAGCCAGTTAGCGATTTGTTTTGATAATTTGTATAATTTCTGGAAACTGAGATCATGGAGAATGGGTATTGACCGTCGACTTTTTTCTAGCTCTTCTGAGCAGCAAGATAGGCAAATTCATATGGCCAATAAATTAATCGATTTACTCGGATAAAAAATGCACTGAACTCTCTTTCATTTCATAAGAAAAAAGCAGTCTTATAAACATAATCCTTTAGTATTTAAAGGCAGTAGGTCGGCAGAATGAGACCCGTGGCAAAACAAGGTCACGGGTAGGAGCCCCCATAATGGAACTTATGGGCCAATCGATCTTTCTCTGCCACTTCTAACCTCCGAAATTTCAAAGCGAAAGGCGCTCATCTCCTGTCCTCTCCGAACCCGCCAACATGGACGAGTGACTTCCGCGGTCAGAGCGCCAGCCGCAGTGCTATAAGCATGAGGTCCAGCAACGACTGTGCGTCTTCGCCATGACGGGCTTCGCGTTCACTCGTCCATGGGGTGGGCGGGTTCGGAGAGGACAGGAGATGAGCGCTGCTTTCGCTTTGAAATTTCGGGAGTTAGAAGTGGCAGAGAAAGATCGAACTTTGGCCCATAGGTTCCATTATGGGGCTCCTAACCTGTCACCTTGTTTTGCCACGGGTCTCATTCTGCCAACCTACTGCCTTTAAGTAAGTAAGTTTCAACCCGCTTTAGCTCAGGGACTCGCACCGTGCGGGCGGCCAGCGACGAACTTACAATCGCTCGTTGGTGTGTGCGATTGTACGGTCGTCAAGGGCCGTTAGCACGGTTAACGTGGGGCGCCCGCACGGTTTCTAGTGCTCGCCGCTTACGCGGGGAAGGTCGGCCGCTCGCTTGCTGCTGGAATAGGTTTATATGGGGTATTTTAACCATTCTTGGGTATGTCAAGCATTTTCACATCCTGGGAACACGCACCAATGCCTGCCGCACTACCCAAACTTTCCATGGAGAGGCCCACACCATCACTCTTGATAACTGTAGCCTGACACAGGTTCATTCCAGCTTTGCGGTGAAGGGAAATGTTGATAACATGATAGTCGACGCTTAGCCAGCCTAAACGCTGCGTCGTATCTCATGCAGGTACCGTTTACGCTCACATTGTGTGAAAACAATGAGCCAAAGGTAGAGGTCACTGTTGGCCGCTTGCACGGGCAAATGTTTGCCGCCCGATCGAACGGACACATTGCCTGCCGCTTGCACGGTCGATTTTATTGCGTACCGATTGCGCGGCGAGATTGCCTGCCGCTTGCACGGCATTTTTATTGTTGACCGCACGCACTGTGCATCAAAACTATGCAGTGCGCTTAGGCGGAGGAGCTTTAATGAGGACCGCCCGCACAGCGCGAATCCCTGAGAGGGTGTCTTTATACCGCGTCGGCAGCCGCCGCTAGCGCCCGTAGCAGCCGCCAGCAGCCCCTACCTAGCAGCCGGCAGCACCCGTAGCCGCCGCTGGCCGCTTTTGCTCATAGAAGCGCAAAATCATCAAATTCTTACTACTTCGCGTGCAATCGCAAACGCTTTCCATCTTCCACGTTTCTTTTCCTTCCTATTGCCGCTAGTGTGCAGTTCGGCTCTCACCCATTACAGAGATATTTAGGATAAGCCCGATAGCAAGGAGAAGATTAAAGCAGAACCGTACTCAAAAAGTGAATGAATATATCTACGTGCGGAAACTGGACGCATCCAAATAAATTACACCGCGCAGAAACTTTGGCAAACTACGGTTCGACTGCGAAAGGGAAATTGAGCGCCTATAAGATCGTTTTTGACGATTTATAACTTTCTTCAAAGTTTGTTAGTATCAATGACAAGCGACCTTTCTTGCGGCCGCAAGCCAATAGTACAAAATACGATAAAGGGGTTCGGAGAAAAAAGTTTGCGAAAAGGCAAAAAATTGAAATTCAAAATTGTCAGTTTCCACATTTTTTTCAGTATGCCTCAAAGTAATTTTCTGCGTACAGAACAGTTGGATGATTTTGCACGCCGATTCTCAGTCTGGATAGCTTCAAATTATACATTGAAGTATGCGTAATGTAGATAATTTCTATTACATACATAGCTGAATTTTCGAAGAAGCGCTATTCATACCCGCATGGATTCTGGCCAGAAAAGGATGTGGTGCGAGAGGAACGATAGCAGCCAGCCGCTGGTGCCAATGCACTAGTTGCCTTCGCAATTCGCAAATTGCGAACTTATAAAAAATAGTAGACTTAAAATTAATGCTCTACTCAACTTAATAAGTCTTGCTTAAATCCCGGTGGTATGTGCAATTTGGTGATGTTCTTGCAGGAAGAAGCTCAAAATACCTTGTCACCTTTGAGACCTTTTTTTGACATTTTCAGCTGATTTTCACATCCCATTTTCAGGCAAATATAATCTATACGATTATCCTATCTAGATGAAAGCATAAAAGCAGGAAATGTTCTAAATTTCTGTGTGCAGATGTATAAAAATGACGGTGAAGTCTGCGCGAGTTATTGACACCCACCAGCTATCGTTCCTCTTGCTCGCCAACCAGAAAGGTGTATGTAACAAAATTCTGAATTTGGATACGGTTATTTGAAGCTCACTAACTTTATGATAGATGAGGCTAGAAGATCGCTTTAACCACCATTAGATAGAGCATAAGAACGGGTTTTCAAAAGTATGCTACATATATTTCAAAGAAGACATTTTGATGGGAAATATTAGGTTGTCCGGGAATTAATGCAGGTTTTGCATACTCTCACTTCAAAGCGTCGTAACTCCTTTGAATCGGTAAAAACTAATATGATCAGCAAGTCCTTTTCCTTTCTGCTGCATGTTCAGTTATACCCTATTTTCAGGTGTATAAGCCGCACTTTTTCAAGTTTTCGCCCGGGCTGCTCTGCCGCTTCATTGTGTTTCGAGAAGCGATCCTTATGCCGTACGACTCTTTCAGGCAATACACAGCACGGCGTAGGGTCCTTTGGTTGCGAGGTCCTTTGATGTATTCGGGCTGGTCGATTCAAGCTAGGACCACCCCGCGGCTTATACACCTGAAAATAGGGTACATGTAGCTCCAACAAGCAAATTACTGAAAGCCAGAAAATAACAAGAGATTTCTTGAATAAGGTCATATTTGGCGAATTGTAAACCCCTACAGGAATTGAGCGTTCAGCGCTTCTGCATGCCACAGACCAGTGCTACATATACAGCTATGCAGAAATTTTTTTTAGGGATTTTTGCAAAAGAAAAACTGCGGAATTAAAATTTTCCATTCTTCCGAACTTCCATGGCTGCAATCTCCGTGATTTTTTATTGACCCACCAAAAATAAAGCCTGGAGGTACCAGTTGAGATAATATCTAACGGCACTGGTCTCACTCGTCAGGTACTAGGAGAGACTTTCACCGTTGCTTTCTTTAAAAAAGTTTTCTACGCCACGGAATATCCTTGACAGTTATTCATGTCAAAGCCTCAATTTCTCTGCTCTCACAATTTTTTAAAGGAAGCGCTACTATCTATCTTAAGGTCCACTCAATACTTTGCTTTAGCCATGATATCAGGGAAATATCCCTCTTGCTGAATAAGTTCAAGCCAAAATTGTGAAGGGTAAATTTAGTAATTTAAAGCTTCATCTTCGGATGGTTGTAGATTTTGAACAAACGAAGTGATCGTGAAAGTAATATATATAAGAAAGAGCATGAAGAGAGGTTTCTTATAGTATGCGAAAGTGGTCGAAAGGTGCACATATACAGAAGAACAATCCTTTTGAAACTGCATTGCAGAAACCTGCATTAATTTCCGGACAACCTAATAGTTGCCTTGAAAAAAGGCTTCGAAAATCGGCCATTGCTTTTGCATCGATCTAGTATTAGGTTGGCACATAAGTAATGCAACTTTTTATATAACTTTTGTCTATTTGAACGTAGCGCATTCATTTTTTGGCAATATAAGGAATATGAAGTAAGCTTCTGATGCACGCATTTTTGCCGAATTTTACCATCTTATGTGAGGATTACGGTAGGTTTACGGTACTATGGGAAAAATTTTAGAATGCATCAGATTTTGCTGAAACTTGGCCTATAGGACTTATTTGACATGCTGATCACAAAAATGAGATCCGTTTCGCATAAAAAAGCCTCGTTCGTGAGATCAAAAATTGAATTTTGTTTTAGCGACAAATGAATATGATATTCGTGTTTACCGCATAGGATTACCCTATAGTGCAAAGTTATAGCGAATTCTGACTTTTCGCAGCTTAGTTATTGACAAATTGCCTTCAAAACTTGACGCATTTGACTTGTTCAACCTCTCAAAGGCGCCCCACCTTAATTTGTGTTTGAATTTCATTTCTTTTTTACTAATTCCAATGTGCCAACTTCCAGCTACATGCTGCCTATACTTACTTTTTCATATGATTGAATCAGGTTTCGTAGGGCTTCATGTTTGCCAAAAAATCGTGAAACCTCAATTTTCAGCAGTTTTTAAAAAATGCTTAGATTTTTTGTACTACGTTATCAAAAATCAATCGGTTTGCGCAGACTTGTAGCTTACATCACGATCTACATGATGCCACAAAATGAGATTGCTACATAGAATAGGAAAAAAGTTACGGGAAAAGTTGCAAAACTTATGTGCCAACCTAATACTTGTAAACAATTGAAATATGTTTCAAAGTTTTAGAAAAAATTCATTTTAGCCTTATAAAAAATTTTTTTCGGGGGCGTGGCTCCGCCCCTTTTTTCTAAAATTTCGGGGTTATGGGCCTGCAAAAATTTTGGGAAGCTACGGAAAAAGTTTTCGGAATGGTGACGCCACGCACCTTCATCAGAAAATTTTTTTGCCCCCCCCTCCGAACGGAAATGCTGGGTACGCCACTGGTTACTAGCGTTACCTGTATTACCGTGTCACTAGTGTTACCCGTGTTACCCGTGTCACCCGTGTTACAGGTGTTACGGGTGTTGCTAGTGTTACCGCTCTTATTGCTGTTGATTAGTGAGATGATCACATAATTTCATTTCAAGACACAATATCACTGGCTGATGAGTAACACGAGTAACCCTAATAGCACTAGTAACATGAGTAATACGGGTAACACGGGTAACACGAGTAATACGAGTAACACTAGTAAGACCGGTAACACGGCTAACATGGGTAAAGCCTCAACCTCGGACGGGGGGCAGCCAACATGAACGATAAATTGTGTCAGCCGTATGCGTTGCGTAGGTCAAATATTTCCTAGATTCTAGATTTACGTTATGATGACATTTAAAATTTTGGAAAAAAAAAACGGTGGAAGCTCTGCGCCGCCTTATTCTTACTGTTCGACACCATTTACAACCCAGTGAAGAACATATCGCTACAAAAAATAAGACTTTAGGCGCGGCATATTGACAAGCACGAGTACAGTATGCTTATTTCCACCTATCGTTCATCTTGGCATACACCCACCTCGGACTTGTAGTTTTGGCATCATTTTCGTTGTTGCTTCCACTATTGACTTCTTGCGTCGCATCAGTGACATATTCTTTTTCTAGAATACCGTTGATATGATTCATCTCTCTTGATGAATCTGTGCATTGTGTTCTTTCCAGAGGCAATAATGCTTCATGATTACGCTCATCATCGTTTTGGTTATGAAGTGGAGTTTGGGCGCTCCTTCTACTTTGCATGGCGAACATTCTTCTATATTTTATCTTGCAGTGCTGACCAGAACTATAGGTTCCACTTTTGAAAAGCCGAAACTTTTGGTTACCAATGAATCGATCTAAAACTTGGGGCAGCTATGTGAATATCAGTCTAAGCCTTCCGGAGCGGGCCCAGTTTTCGTTCGATTACGCACAATACGATCAAATTATTACAGAAAGCAGCTTGAAGGCTGGCCAAAAATCACCCAAGGTTTCTATTGAGCAATGTACATCTTGGCTTCCAAAGTCATTTGGATAATAGTTAAAAGTATAAAACAGTTGCTCAGAAAGCGTACTTTGATCCCCAAAAATATTAGGTTGTCCGGAAATTAATGCCCGTTTTGAATTTCAAACGCAATATCATACACTTCTCACTTCTAAATAGGTTGCAAAGTACCATTCGATAGAGCAAAGCAAGCTCTACAAGATGGCCATCTTGCTTTTGCAACAGCTCTCATCCACCTCGAGATTCGAGCCAAAAACTAAAATGACTCAGCAGCCCGAAAAATCGAAAAAAATCGTGACTCCGTGCACAAAAATCCTACAAAAATTCTTACTTGCTCACATAAACACTATCCGCATGAAACATCTATAGACGCCTTTGCCGTATTTTTTCCTCTGTTAGAAACCAAGAAAACGGAAATTTTCGTGCAATTGTCAAAGTGATGCTGTGCCGTCCCCACATAGGTAATTGTATACTACAAACCTGGAGAAGTATAAACGTAAATTCTCAGCCCTCTACAAGCTTTAGTTCTCGAGAAATACCGAATATAGCCTTTCCTAGTTAGGTGGTCCAAGCTGAAATTTAAATTTCTCGAGAGTTAAAGCTTGTAGAGGGCTGAGAATATACGTTTATACTTCTACAGGTTAGTATACAACTACCTATGTGGGGACGGCACAACACCACTTTAGCAAATGCTCGAAAATTTCCGTTTTCTTGGTTTCTAACAGAGGAAAAAATACGGCAAAGGCGTCTATAGATGTTTCATGCGGATAATGTTTACGTGAGCAAGTAAGAAGTTTTGTAGGATTTTTGTGAACGGAGTTATGATTTTTTTCAATTTTTCGGACAGTTGAATCTTTTTACTTTTCGGCTCGAAACTTGTGCTGGATCAGAGTTGTTGCTAAAGCAAGATTGCCACCTTGTAGAGCTTGCTTTGCTCTATCGAATGTTACTTTGCAACCTATTTTAGAAGTGAGAAGTGTAAGACTTATTGCGGTTGAAATTCAAAACGAGCATTAATTTCCGGACAACTGTTAGAGTGGGGAATTTTGCAGTTTCTCAGCTAATTTAGAAGCGACGGGTTTTTATCCATCTTTCATGTGCTTAAAGACGTGAGCACTGGTTAAAAATTCGACTTTTTGTTGTTGAGCAAGCCCAACTTTAAGCTTTCAGCGACCCGAGCAAATTTTATGAAATTTTGTAAATTTCTAAAGAGAAGTGGAATTTTATTTGTTGTCTTTTTGGTTTTTCTCATATTACAGCAACTAGAGTGTATTCTTTGTTTCGTTTTTGCGTCCATACCATCTATAAAACCCTGTGTATCAGCATCCCTGGCATATTTCCACTTTTTATCAGTAACTTAATCAATTTATTTTACCTATATTGACTCAAGCTCGCTTAACATTACTAGTCATAAAATACTAATTTCGACAAATCAGCGTACATTTATATCCATAACAGTTTCCTGTAACTATTCGCCTCTATTCTGCGAAGTACAAAATAAATTTTTTTTGGAAACCAAACATTTCGAGTAATTTAAATTTTAATTTTCGAATAATTTCGAGTGTTCAACATGATTGAAATTTGTGACTATTTTCCTTCAATAAACTCTATACTTTGTTTATTTGCATATATCAACTAATTCTGAGCCATATCGCACCTCAGCGCGAGAGGACCGAGAAAATTTCTCGGCAAGAGTTTTAGACGACGAAGATGATCACTGTACCATCTGCAGCTGCTTTGCCGGCAGCTCCGGCGGCTGGCTGCGGCAGCAGTCGGCTGCTCGGGTACCACTTGCTACGCACCCCGTCTGTTGTCATGTGCACATATCGCATTTATTACAGATCGCTTCAAAATCAGCAGTCGTTCGAAATGGACTTGAACAATCTCTCCGACAATGAACTTCGCCAGGTAGTTTACAAGCAGTTTTATGGCAACTATGTCTCCATTTCCGTCAAACATCTTGAGATCGATATCGGCTGGTTTTTATTGAAGCGTTCTTTTTTTATAATATATTTTTCCAGATTATAATATATTTTTCCAGATTTTTCTTACAAGATTAGAGATTTTTTTGAAGATTTTCGGCACTTTTTTCTCGTTTTAGATCAGTGATAGTGTAGTATCGTCGTTGTTCTAGAGTAGATGCTCATTTATCTTCCAACACTCATTATAGCCTTTCTTAATCTCATAATTTGGTTTCATTCCTCTTTTTTGGTGTGCTAAGCAGCAAAGTTTCGGTACTTCCTCGCGAAATCAAAGGAACCTTGGATAAACGAAACGAATATGAAAGTATGATAAGAGATAAACGGTCATTAATCAGTTGCTCCCTTTCTATTATCAATGGCAATCTCCAAAATGTGGAAATGTTACGGGATATTAGCAAAGCACATAGATTGGTTTATTTACCTATTAGGTTTTGACCAAAGTCACAGAAAACTATTCTGCATAATCAGGATCTTCCATATCTTTTTTCTAGCGTTGATTTCGCTCCCATTTTCAGTCTGTGACGCACTCAGCAAATGACCCAATGAATTTGATTTTAAGCTAGGAGAAGAACTATGGTAGATTTCAGCAGCCTTTTTTCAGCAATTAATTGCTTTGGGGCAGTCTGTCGGACCACTGACACCATCAACAAGAACTTTCTATGTAAAAAAGCTGAAGAATTTATTGCGGAAGCAAGGTGCACTTCCAGGCTTATTTGGTATTTATTGACTTTTACTGTTAGGTAATGCGCCCATAAACTCACCAACGCAATCTGCGGGAAGAAATCCGAGGAGTTCTGTTGAAAGAAACACAGAGGACGTTTCGCACGATGCGAAAATGTTTGATGTGAGACTTATTTATTCAGTACTAGCTGGCATCCCGGCTCCGTCGAGCCCTATTAATACGTATACTATACAGGGTGCGCCAGAATTATTTGCGCGTGTATTCTGCAACGCAAAACTCGTGCAAGACGAGATCAGCGATAGGCAAAAAGCTATTTTGTTTCAGTAAAGTTTTATCATTAAGAGCCTATAGCATGAGTTGGAGTTTCTAAGTGTGGCTTGAGAAAAATCAGAAAATATCTTACTGATTAAGTTGCGCGCAGCACGCAGGTAATTTTTCAGACAATCTTCTGCTTCTTCATAGGAAAATGCTCCTGTGATGCAAAGAACACACCACATGAAAGAGCGAGATTTCGGCTGCAACATACGTAAGCGCAAAATCTGGGATGGTCTGACAAGAAAATTATCGACGTTTAAACAAAGTCATGTGTTTGCTACATGCTCAAAAACTGCACATTTTAGGGGTGCGAATGAGCGGAAAAAAGCAGAAATTGACTCCAAATGAGGTTGGAGTTCAATTTCATTAGTGGAAAAGAAATGAATATTTATCTAGAAGCTTTGTGAAAGCACTATAGCATCGAATCCGGTGACAGGCACGTTTCTGTAGCTTACAAATGTGATTTGAAAACAAAACGGCCACTGACACGCGGGTGGCATTTGCATACTTTTTGTTGCCATTTTTGGAAGAATAATTGTTGGTGAACGCCAGTACCACGATTCGATAGCGCAAAGCCTCCTCTACACTGTGGACATAAAATGCCTTGAAAATGTCTCAAGAATCTCCAGTTACGGAATGACTACCAAAAAATTAGGTTTAGTACGACAATTTCATTATTTGCACAAAGGTATGTCGTCCTGGGCTCATAAAGCGTTGTTTTGTAGAGGATGATTGCAGCATTCTACCACATAAATTTTGAAATCAAAACTATGAGTAGTTTCTTTGCAGCACTCATGCAAAGTTGACGCAAATATTTTCGGCGCACCCTGTAGACCTTTGCAAGTACGAACGTAAGTTTCTAGCAAGTTTTTCACAAGCATAGCTCTCGAAAAATACCGAATATAACATTCCTCCGTCGCGTACCTTACGCTAATATCTATATTTCTTGAAAATGAACCTTGTGAAGAGCTGACAAGGGAATGGTCAGAAGTCGAAGTGGCCAATCCAAGGCTGCCTACCGTCCAACGCTGATTTTGAATTTATATTCAATATCTGTTTAGCTCCTTGGGGCGAAGTTATGAGCAATTTTACTGCAAAAAAAACCATAGATAAAATCTGCGAAATCGAGCACTTTGTTTTGTTCTTCAAGTGTTCTGAGCCGTACAGGTTTCTTAGATGGTCTTTATTTATTTAATCACGACCTAACGTTTCGACGCCTTCGTCTTCCTTAGAGGCCTGAAAGTGGTTCAAAACGTCATATGTGACTCCAGCCACCAAACACCTCCCTCAGTCCGGCTAGGTCTCAACCTTCGCTCAGGAGGTTGAGAACTCTCGAACGGTTCAATATGCATGTCTGTAAGCGATAAAGGCGGCGAGTTTGTAGTAATGCCCAGGAGTTAGATCGCAGAATAACAGCAGCGCATCTTGTGGACACCACAACGTATAGCATGGTCACTGAGAAAGAATTTTACACCCAATGTAAAAAGTTGAATGACGCTTGGACCACAATAGCAAAATCAGCTGGACGTGTCGAGAGGTTTATCAACAGGTTGAGGTTGGATGTCCAAGCTGTCCAGTTTTTATAGCTTGATCAAAATGCACAAGCTTTCTTTGCGAGATGTAATTTTGATGTCGGAGGACACCTACAAGATCAGACCAATCATAAGTTATGTAGGCGGCCTTACCGACAGAATTGCATGGTCCTTGAATAAAGTTATGAGCCAATTGCTGTCCAATCTTCCTGCACATCGATCCAACTCACACGGATTTATCGAACAGCTTCGCAGTGCTAAGTTTGATTCGAGCACTTTAATCGAGTCATTTGGGTGACTTCGCTTTACACTAATGTGCAAAATGAACAAGCCCTGCAAGCGCTATGTTGGATAGGCATGGCAATACCATCAATACCTTTGGACTTGACAAGTTGCGGGCAATGACCCTGATACACGAATGTTTGAAGTGTAACATCTTTAGATGGTCTAGGACTTACTACTCCCAGATACGTGGGTTATCAATGGGTCAAAGATTAGCATCTGTACTCGCTATCTGCTTCATGAGCAAGATCGAGGAACCGGTGATAGCTCGAATGCTAAATACTGCCGTTATATCGATGACTGCTGTATAGCGACCTCCACACAGTCGCAAATGGACAAGTCTTGCGAGATTTTTAACCAGCAGTCGCAGTAAGCTCACAAGAGAAGCACACGCTGCGGATGGCTACCCTATCTCAACGCACAAATGAAGCTGTCCAACGGCATAACTGAATTCAAGTGGTACCGCAAAGAAATCTTTAAGAACATCCTCTTAAGTGTCAAATCTGCCCATCCTTTATCCATAAAGCGCGCTGTAATTAGGAATATGTTCGATAGGGCTATGAAAATGTGCTCCGGGAAAAAAGGAACGATGCGAGTCACGAGATTTGGCTTCCCATATCGCTTGCAATAATGGTTACCATTCTTTACCACGTACTCGACAGCCTGCGAATAGTAACAACGCTCATGATAATAAACTCCCACTATGCATTCCATTTATATCAAATAGCATCAGCGCAGCTCTTCGAAAATGCAACGCGCACAATTGCAGGATGATATTGTATTAGTGGACGTTCCGAATGACAATATAAAAAAGCAATTGGTTCGAAACAGACTATACGATCGATAGTATAACAGAACATTGTGTATTTTGCCCGCATTGTAAATTAGGTGATTGTGCAAAAGTGAGAGTAGTTTATCAAATAGAATGTTTAAAATGCAACCGAGCTTTATTTTGGGGAGACCGGAAGAGCACCCAGTACTCGCATTAAAGGACATCTAGCAGATAAAAAGCGTAAAACATTATCTTCAGCTTTAGGCAGGCATAGAAGCGGGGCGTGTAATGGAGAAGACTTTGATATTTATATCTATATTTATATACTACGCTCATAGGCGCGCCACTTTGTTGGTAAACACAGCATAAGACGTCAGTGAAGTTAGTAATACATTAAAAAGATTTAACGAAAACAGAAAATTCGGAAAGGCATTCGGTAGTCTTGGTATGAAAAAAATGCGGTGATTGAGAATTTCAATCCGCGCAGGTCGAAGAACAATGACTCGATGAACCGTTGCCGCCAACTTTAACAACACAGCTGGCAAGAGTCAATGGTAGAAGGAGAATAGAACGATCGGAAGACCCAAACCAAACATCAGGTATATGCAAATATTCCAGTACATCTATAACTCCTAATTTCTTACAAAAACAGGATGCGTTTTTACTAGAAATAATTTCCTGAGGTAAAAGGCTTAACCATCTTGTGGTTCGGCAGAAATATGAATTGAAGGTTTGCAAAAAGTTTCTTTCACCTAGCTTCCTGTAGTGCAAATTAAACCCACCTGTACGCTCTCCACTGGGCCTAACGATCCAGTATTTACTGGCTCGCAATTTCGTTTCTATTTTTAGGATACAAAAGCAGAACACCAAGTCGCTAACAACATGTCTATACTTCAAACTATGCAGTTTTAAAACTACAAGTCTAGCACCGTAGGACGGATGTCAAGTGTAAGATCTTATTGTTAGCTTTTGAAAAGGAGGCCTCGGCTAAGAAAGCATTAAAGGCTTTCTGGATCTCTGCAAAGAATCCAGAAAAGAACAGCAAAAATGAGTGCTTGTCGATAACCTCATTTCTGGAATGATATACACGAAAGTCCCAGCGAATTGGGCTTTCGTGCGAATAAAATGGACTTAGCATGCGTTGCGATAAGATATCGCATTTGCGAATCCATCCATTCCATACAAAACTCCTTCAGCAAACCTTTCTCCAACTTGCCTCAACCTGTTTACTCATTCTTGCAAACTCATTTCTACCAAATGATCGGTATCTAACTAGGGCTGACCTAACATTACGATGACAGTCACATGAATATTCTATGCTTTCACACTTTATTATACATTAAAAATGTCATTTGTTATCGATTACTATGCATAGAAAATATCTTCAAGAATGGAATTCTCATAATATCCGGGCCTTCGCTTCTCAAGACTTCTATGGATCTGCTTTAAGTCAAATTCGTATGTAGGGCTTTCTGGGGAAAGCAAACTTTGGCTAGACTTGCGCTGCAAACTGTGAAGCAAAATGCTTATCTCGTAGGAAACCTTGCCCTACAACCCAAAGGGTTCTAATCGGAAAACTACGAGTCGCAAAGTGACTTCGCAAATGTTCTACTTTAGCTCTTCTTTGTCTTTCAGCATTAATGTATATCTTTAAGTAGTTGAATGTATGGACTATTGCTAGTAGAAAATTTTTCACAAAATTTTTCTTGCTAGCTAGCGGCATTTCAGTATTTCTTGCGACCAATCTCAAAATCGCGTTTGAAATGCCGTCTTTGAGGTTCGGTTCTACGAGAATAGTCAAAAGATAGGTTCTGAGTAATTGTATTAAAACGCAAATCTTTCTTATTCTCAAATACAAATCATGAATTTAGATTTGGTTGATAATTTGAAAAGTTAACAAACTTTATTCGATTTACATAGGAATATTCGCATCAACCTGATATTTGGAAGCATTTGAGTTTTTAGCGAATATTTTGGTGAATTTAACCTTTTTCCATGATTTTTATAGCGTTTGTATGAGTTTAGAAAGAAACACTTATTTCAGACTTCATAAAAGACAGGAAACTCTTCCCACTCACTTGTTACCTTAGAATGAGCTGAGGAACACATTCTCAATAGATCGCCATCAAAAATCTGCAAAAAGGTCAAAAATGGGCTTAGTCCCAGCTCACGTTGCTGCTGGGAGTAAAATGGGCTTTCAGGTCCATTTAAAATGGAGGTAAATCCCATTTTGCCCCATTCTAAATGGACTTTTCGCTGATTCTTCCGCAGGCGAGAGCTCAAGTAGGGTTGAATCATTTTTATCACACCGCTTTGCCTCGTGATTGCGATGAGATAAAAATTTTTGGATAACGCTAGCGAAAGTAGATTCCGACAAGTTTCTACCGCGAACGAATAAAATGGGGTTTGGAAGCCCATTTTCCTCCATTATGGACTTTCGTGGATATCATTCCTGGATTCTTTGCAGAGATCCAGAAAGCCTCTAATGCTTTTCTAGCCGAGGTCTCCTTTCCACAAGCTAAGATCGATAACCTCGAGTTCCTTCCGTTCATATCGCTATGCGATCTGCAGATCACATTCGATTGTCATTTATGGTATAGTTTATTCTTCCGCCACGACCATCAATTTCGGTGCGGAATTTTATATATAAAGCTGAATGTCTGTTTGTATGTCTGTCTGTGTATGTCTGTCTGTCTGTCTGTCTGTGTGTACGTATGTTCCGAATAGAAAATTCCATTTCTGAACCGATCCGGACCAAACTTGGCACACATACACTTCGGGCCCCGGCGGGTGTCGTAGGCTACTTTTCGTCATCGATCGATATCGATTTTATCGATTTTTTGCAAAATTTGAGCTACGGGGCTGGGAGTTGGCACAGGGGGGTAATCGAGTATGCTGATTGCGAATATAATAATGACAGGGCCGGGCGGAGCCGGGTAAGTCAACTAGTACCATATATAGCGGTGGTCTTTCGGTACGCTCATCTTCTGTCCTGACATTTTTATAGTAGGAAAGTTGAGCGAAGGTTGAGAACTAGCCGGACTGGGGGAGGTGTTTGGTGGCTTGGAGTCACGTATGACCTTTTCAACACTTTCAGGCCCCTGGGAAGACGAAGGCCTCGAAACGTTAGCCGTGATTGGATAAATAAAGACCATCCAAAATACCTGTGTGGCTTAGAACACTTGAAGAATGCTTACGATGCCCAGGTTTAAAGAAAGCGAAACATGGAAACCACTGTGTTTTACTTTCAACTCATCTACAAACTTTGGAATGTAAAGTAATCTAGCTGCATGTATTGGGCCAACATCAAGTTGCGCTTTACATGCCATAATTTCTTACCTAAATAACACCTTTTAGCGGCTCATACTTCGCCCACATAGGCGCTAAACAGATATGTAGTACAGATTCGGAGTCAATGTTTTATGCTGCATCTATTAAGTAGAGCTTGTTTCCATTGGCCACTTCGATTCCTGACCCTTTCCTTGTAAGAACTTACGTTCTTACCTCTGCGGATTTGTAAATTACTTATGTGCGAATGCACTATCATTTTGATGAAAATCGAAAATTGTTGTTTCCTTGATTTCTAAACGAGGATATAGCGACGCAGTGGCGGACCAGGAGAGTGGGCGCCGCCTCCCCCCCCCCCCCCGCCTGAGAATAGATCGCAAAATTTTTGAATATCTTACATGCGTTATAAAAATGTGCAAGTGACTTGTTCATCCTTGTAAAAATTAAAATTTTTCAAAATCTTGCAAAATTCAATTTAATCTTGTAAAAAAGCTTTTGGGGCGTTGCTGCCGTACCATACTGTAGAGTTGTTTTGCTCTAGATGGTACTACTTGGGAGCGAACAATTCTAATTTACTGCTGCTGAAATTTGAAATGGGCATCAATTTCCGAACGACCTAATAGATCGGTGAAAGAATTGACACAAATTAGTAATTCATTGGGATTGACTGAATTCTGCGTTGTATCCGCGCTAGTATGACGCAAGCTCTTAAAGCAGCCTTTCCGCGGCTGGCGTCAAATGTTTTGACCTGTTTAACTGAAAGAAATTGTAGCTTTTAGAGAAGGGTATATGGGAAACATGGTGGGGATATGCGTAGAATAAATAAATGATACATTTCCATTTTTTCTGGTTTACGTGCGGGATTTAGTGCCAAATCGGGACATAAGAATTAGGGCACTAGAATGACACTCAATAGTGGACATTTTCAAAAAGATTTGTTCAAATGGATCTTTGTATACCGTTTGAGAATATGTATTTGCTATCCGTAAAACGATTATCTGTACGAAAACATGGTACTTTCTTCAAGGGCATCTGTAAGGGTTAGTGTTATCGATATGCGATTCTTTGCTCAGAAGTCTGCAAAATTCGAATGATTTGTAATAGTGCTAATTATCTTGTCTCGATAGTGTTAAAGGCAGCGGTTTGACAGAGTGACAACTTTGGGATGTTCGTCGTTTTCGGTTCCTCTAAATGACCTGAGTCCAAGATTGTGCTTTGCAGCTTCGAAAGATATTAATAACCCGTTTTTCCAGACGTGAAAATGCTGTTTGGGCGGGTCGCGAAAGTGGCTGCTAGAGCCAATAATCCAATTGCGGCCGCGATGGGTATGGTGTCTCCACTCATGAACCAATGGCGTTCTAGAGGGCAGGCTTACGCCGTCCGTCCAAAAAGCTTTTCACGTCCGGAAAAGCGGCTTATTGATACGTTCTGAAGCTGCAAAGCACAGTCTTAGACTCAGCTCATCCAGGAGAACCGAGAGCGATAATAAGTCAAAGTTATAACTCTGCCGAGCTGCCCTTAAGTAGCATAAGTTAGACACTTTCTCCAAAGCTACGATTACCTGGAGTTATGTCAGTTTCACAACTAGAAACGCTCATAAATTCCTTCAGAAAGCGTTTCGCAAATAATTAGCATAGATATAGAGTTAGCGTCTGGAGATGCGTCCTATGGACGTCCTGTCGCAAATGGCCACAATGACCAAATTTCCTTTGGTCAGATTAGCGCGAACAACTGATTACAGACGGAATGATTTAGGCCAAATTTACAGCGAGCCTGCTTAGCAGTTCTTGAGATTTTCAAATGAGCTCGAGCTGAAGACTGGTCGACATAGTGGCTACTCAACTTTTGTTTGCGAAAGCAATTGTAACTTTCAAAGCTATTCATGTGTTTTCACATTCTCATTATGATTGGCGAACTATCACATAGCTAGAAATCTGAGCAAGAAGGGTCTAAAGCTATCGAAAAGTGCGAGTTTCCTTCATAGAAGACCAGAAGAAGTACGTTGCAATTTATCGTGTTCGGTCTAGACATCGAAAGCATGTTATTGAAACAGGTTGTTATCCTTTCCATGTTTAAAACCCTTTCAGAATGTAGAATCACTAACACAACTCCGCGTTAAAGAAATCATATCGGGATCAAGAAAAGCACGCCGAAATGGGAGACCTGCGAGCGGAGCTCCCAGAGCACTTCGCAGCGAAAAAACTCTGTCGGGATCTCCAAAAGCAAAAGCTGTGAAATTATCACCACAACCGGTATCATTTTTTATTTTTTGGAAAATGGTATTGGCTAATGATTGATTTTGGTAGCTTTTGTGGCTCCTACAGATACTGAAGACAACTTTTTGTTCAGTGTTTGGTATCTCTAAAAAGAGCGCTTCAGTGAAAATTGAGATATAAGTTTTGCTTGAGTCGGACTTAATTTTCAATGAAAATTCCGCAAAGAAATGAGAAATACCAGTTTTTTTCATGGTGCGCAAATATGAGAAAATCAGTTTTTGATCAAAGAACTTTGTAACGAGAGACCACAACTTTTATTGTTATTCATTTAATAGGAAAACTTATCTGTCCGAATACCAAATTGCTATTCTCTACATCTATTACAGCATGAAAACGAAGCTCAGAAAGTCGCAGAATTGAGCTTCTGCATTTTTACCCCTGCTGGGGCGTAGTGATCCTTACTAATGATAGAAAATTCTGAGTAGGTATATAAATAGGGAGTTGCAAGCTACTTTCTACAGAGAATCACGGATGAAAAACAATTAGAAAAGCTTTTATGAAGATTTTTTTTAGGCTAAATCGAAATTCTAGCAACCTAATAGTTAGTAGCCACAACTATGGTCAACCTTGTAAAATGCAGCTAAGAGTTACTTGCACCTTTCTTTCATTTCAAATCTTTCATCCTGTGTGAGAAACTTTATGTCAGTACATCAAGGAAGGGGAGTGTAATTGTTTTCCAGACATGTTCTTTCGCCCTCAAGTCATTTAATGATGGCTCTCCTCAAAATTCATGTACTGAACCACCCATAAGGTAGAACACTGTTAACTTGCTGTCGAACGTGTGCGGAGCCTTCTTAAGTTTCTTAGTCTCAGGATGGATGAGAGAGCCCCCACATCAACTAGGAAACGTCGCCTTGTAAACCGCTTAACTAAAGCAAATCAGGACCAGGCCTTATGCAATACGAATACAATTCCGCAGATTTCCTTAAGGTAAGAAAGTTCCATTTATTGACAGCAGTGGCTTGGCAAAGCTAATTCTTCCGCTTCATTGTGGTAGATTGCATGACTCAAACCTTGAAAACAGAGCAACTTCAGTCGCACAGCATGCCCCCTTGCCTAAATCAGCGAACTTAGCGCGCGGGCTGGTTGTCTATCACCCACAGCTACTAAATCAAGGTAAGATCACCAACACTTTGTAAATGGCAATGACAGTGAGTTGAATCCATCGCACGTTACCATCAGTGGCAATGCCACATTGTCCAGCAATGCGCGTTCTTTGCTCAATCTCGGACCATGCTTTTCGCTAACGCAATCAGTATGCCCTGGGTCGCACGCAAATTTATGGGTAACCTTCAGTACGTACAAGATCGCCTACGATACCGCGTTAGATTAGAAACGCAGCAAGTCAATCATCAATCGATAACTACCACCTTGCCTGGTGTGCCATTCCCGCCAATGTCTTTAGGCTGCAAGAGCCAGGACCATCAGTAGACACATCTTTCCGGGTTTTCGCAACATCGGTTCTTATTGTATTTAACACGTTGACGACCGTGTGCATCCGCGCGTATGCACGCCCTGACCACCTTTTACCACTTTCGTGCATCAATTTATCATGTGTAAGCGAAAAGTTCTTAGGTGACTTCTATGCAGTGATAACACTGGTGGCCTTTGTCATATAGAACAGACGCCATTGCGGTAGCTGTTAAACAGTCCAGTCCGCAGCCGTAGATCATTAGTCCATTTTGATGTGGTCAAAAATGGCTCGGTCGTCAATGTGTTAAACGATACCAACATATGCGCCAGGCGCCTAATTTATCAGCTGCGCAAAAGAGGGGTCTCAGAGAAGTCGGGATTAGTTGCCTCAAATAACATCAAAATAGCAGTCAGCGATAAGGGCAGCGAATATGTGATACTATCCAAAGAGATGGAGATGACGATTACAAAGCAGCATCTTGAGGACACAACGACATATTGCGAATTGTCGGAAAAGGAATACACTAGACAAACTTAACAGACTATGGATTGAAACAGCGCGGGCGGCCGGCCTGTCTAAGCACATAGTGTCACGCTTGAAATCTGATCTACTAGTTTGTTCTGTCCTCTATTTTATATTCACAAGAACTCAGTTTCTAATAGTATTTAAAAGTATCTATGTCGTACAAGGTACACATCAACATTGAAACTAAGGTTTTTCCCTTTGAAATCAGAGCAAAGGAAAGTTGCGACGTCACACGCGTCGTTCGCGTTGCCGCACTTCGCCGCAGCTGTTGTTCGATTTCTCCTCATATCTCCTAAACAAATATCGGCAGCACAGCTCTACAGAATCATTAAGTAAGTAGCAGCTTAGGCCTTTGACTTGATAACCTTACACTAAGATAAAACATCTGTAAACGTTGAAAAGGTGCTTCAAAGCAGCGCGCTGCACCATGTGCAGCACTGGTCCGAAACGTATAAAGGCTCGTTGCTGGAGTCAGCCATATAGTACGTCTTGCAAACAATTGAACAATTTGGTCCTAGTTCCGCTAAATGTAAAAGCATTAAAGGCGTGTAGATGCAGAAAGATGCAAGAGTACTTCCCTAAGAACAAGCAGTACTGCTTCCAGCTATGAAATGTTCTTGGTAATGATAACCGTGAGTTACATCTCTGTGCGAAAATCTTCTCAAACGCTTAGCCAGAACCTTGGCAAATTGAACATTTACACAAACCAATTCGTTTTGGCGCGGTTTTCGTTATGTAGTAAACTTTCGACCACATTTCTGGCTAAACTCCATCGCTTGCACATTTGCTTACCAAACTCATCCACGACTCTGCAAAAAGTGGTGATACGGACCGAATTTTGCGGTACAGAAGCCAGGTGGACCCGTTTGGCGCGCAATTTCTGAGGGATCCGCTCAACGAATCTACTCGTGCTTTTGCATGTTGGACTTTCATAAAGGTAGCATGCGCCATGCAAAGTTTGGGCTCAAGACATTAGCTGGAACATGCTCCACGAATTTCGTAACAGACACACACACAGACAAAGTCACATAAACACCCTTAGCCCGTTATTATAAGTCATGATATAAAGCTGAATGTCTGTTTGTATATCTGTATGTCTGTCTGTTTGTCTGTCTGTCTGTCTGTACGTATGTTCCGAATAGAAAATTCCATTTCTGAACCGATCCGGACAAACTTGGCACACATACACTTTTGGGCGGGGCGGGTGTCGCAAGCTTTTCGTTATCGATCGATATCGATCTTATCGATTTTTATCGATTTTTTGTAAAGTTTGAGCTACTGTGCTGGGTGTTGGCACAGGGGGTAATCGAGCATGCTGATTACGAATACAGTACTAGTTCTTGAGATTATCCGTTACTTTTTTCGATTTCATCGATTTTTTGTAAATTTTGAGCTGCAGGGCTGGGAATTCGCACAGGGATAAATGAGCATGCTGATAACTAACGCAGCGGGAATACGGAGTTGGAGTTGATATATAGAAGTGAGCACAGGGAAAATTGTACAGGGATAGGGATGAGAGCTTTATCGTAGTGTTTTGAGGCCGGGCGGAGACGGGTAAGCCAGCTAGTGTCCTTATAAAAACACATAAGATAGGAGAAACGGAGAGACCACTGTGCCTGCGGATAAAGGGACACTTAACGGGTTGCGCAAATCAAGGTTTTCCAACACCTCTAGGCACGCATAGTAAGCTGCAGCATTACAACACAGAATTCAAGGCTCAGTGTCAATTCTCTATCTTATATATAAAGCTGTATGTCTGTTTGTCTGTCTGTATGTCTGTATGTCTGTCTGTCTGTCTGTACGTATGTTCCGAATAGAAAATTCCATTTCTGAACCGATCCGGACCAAACTTGGCACACATACACTTCGGGCCACGGCAGGTGTCATAGGCTACTTTTCATCGACCGATATCGATTTTATCGATTTTTATCGATTTTTTTGCTGAGTTCATCTACGGGGCTGGGAGTTGGCACAGGGGGTAATCGAGCATGGGGATTCCGAATACAATATTAGTTTTTGAAACCATCCATTATTTTTATCGATTTTATCGATTTTTTTGCAAAGTTTGAGCTACGCGGCTGGGGGTTTGCACAGGGGGGGGGGTAATCAAGCATGCTGATTACGGTTCGATATTAGTTTGGCGCTATTCGGCTAACCGGGCCCCAAAATTTTTTCTTCGTAGAGCTTGCTCAAATTCGTGTATAAGGGTTATCTTACATGCTGATTACAGATATCACACTTTCGTCGCAGAAAGTCTCCCCATGTGGTTACGATAGGTGTGCGGTAGGAAGTCAAAATCATGAATTCTGCTGTAGTTCGGTCCAGAGAACTTATTCGACATGTTGATTACGAATTTCATACTCTCTCTGCATATTGGGACCTCTTCATAGAGTTAGGGTGGTTATATACGGTGTGGGGTCGAAAACATAGATTTGCTTCAAACCTCGTCTAGGGTGGTCATTTAGCGAGCTGAACATAAATATCATGTTGATTTCGCAGGATGGTGCATTTTCTTGGGTTACGGTGGGTGTAGATGGGTCGAAGTTCTAGATTTGCTCAAAACCTTACCTGTAACGGTTCACAAGTACTGCTTATGAATATGAAACTTGCTCGCTGTCATAACGCATAGTGAAGTTATGGCGAGTTGCAGGATTTGAATGGACAGGGCCAATTTAGATCCCATATATTCATGAAATGGGGAAACGGTCGTTTTGCATGGCGGTCTCCAGCGCCATCCTGATAACCTGTCCCAACGTGTAACGCACGCGGCAAATCTCCCTCCCCCTGATTTGCTTAGGCAAAAGCCGCCGAAGGGTGTATCGCATGAGGCAAATGTCTCTCCCCCTATTTCTGCTTGGGCAAAACCCGCCGAAGGGTGTATCGCACGCGACAAATCTCCCTCCCCCTATTTCTGCTCAGGCAAAAACCGCCGAAGAGTGTATCGCGCGCGGCAGTGGTCCTATAAGGAAAGCATTACGGTCGTAGGAAACTTTTATACTACACGAATTGCCTTTATCGCGGAGATTGAGCACGATATTCTTTGTACAGCACTTTAGGTAATTCCCTGCCAAGGTTTTAGGCAGGTTTATGATTTTTACCCGACTATGATATTGTCATCAGCGGCTCAAATAACCCCCATATACCGAGTTTGAGCAAGATCCGTCACAAAAACATTTTGGGGCCCGGATAGCCGAATAACGCCGTCAGTTTTAGAATTATCCTTACTTTTATCGATTTTATTGTTTTTTTGTGCAAAGTTTGAGCTACGGGGCTGGAGGGTTGGTGAGGAAGGTAGGTGAGCATACTGATTACTCACCGTAGCGGGAATAGGGAATGTAGAAGTGGGCACAGGTAAAGGTGTACAGGGATAGAAATGGAACCTTTATCGTTTTTGACAGGCCCAGGCGGAGCCGGGTAAGCCAGCTAGTATATAATAGAAACAGAGGTTGCGGCGCAAAACAGAAGCCTGGGTTTTAAATAGAAATCCGCAGATGAACTGAAAAGAACGAGTGCATTGCCATAACTAATGAGCTCGCGCCGTTCTTCCACTTACGCAGGTTTGACCTACTTCCTCCAAGTCAGCAACCCTAACTCACAAGGGAACGATACTCGGTCAGTGGCCTTTTGAGATCAAACGTATATCATCACACTTGTCATGGAACGCTGATTCCGAATCTGACTTCCGTTTCTGCTGATCGTTTCTCTAAAAGAAGTTATGTACGATTCTGGGGTCAATGGTCGCCCAAGAAATACGGTCGAGTATGCCTAACTTTCAGAGAAGATTGATCAAGAGAATGCAAAGCTGAAAAACACAAAAGGCCTCGATCTAAACCTGCATTGATTTGTGAGGCTATCGCACTAGCCCCACTACACCACATCGTAGCGGCGGCTTTAGCATTTCGTCACATGGTCTCGACCTCAAGTTTAAGATGAGCTGTTCGACCTAGGTGTCCTTTCGTGCAACTTTTTGTTTCCTTCCTGCATGATGAGA